ACCAATGCCTGCTATGGCTATGTATACTGCAAATGGTGAGTACCGAGCACCCCCGCCGCTGTGCGGATCAGCACACTTACAAGTTCAAACAACAAAAATGTCAGCTGTACGTGGGGGCCAGGAGGATGGTGCAAGCAGATGACATCGGTGAGAGCACATTCTTGAGTATATGTATCCCTTCACAGTGTGCATCATGGTGTATTTACAGGACATGGACCCTCCGACATGGACCCACCGACAAGCTTCTGTCATTTGCTCACGTTGTACACATCATCCTGCCCCCACCCACACAACGCACTCAAGCACGCAACCGCTGCTGCTCGGTGCTCACTGATGGTCGCGCGTATCCCACCACAACACTCGTACGTGTCCTCTTCGCATCGTAGACGAGCTGCAAACCAGTCATTGACTTGTTCCCACAGCTCACTCGGCGGCCGGCCAGTCAGCCACGCGGCGATCCCACGCCCGGGGCACAACTGGGCAGAAGAGGCTGACGATGATGCTTGGTCGTCGGGAGCTGGCCAGGTTGCTGTCAACGACTTGCGTGCAGGCGCGCTGTGCGGCGCGGGCGCTTTCAGACGCGGAGCCGGGGAGACAACACAGTACCACTGCGGCTGTGCGGCAGCGAAGGCGAGGTACGCGGGCGCGCGCGCGGGGATTGTGAATCTCGCGTTGCCGCTGCAACACATCGACGGTACGCGCCCCGAGATGACAGTATACGGTGCGAGCATATACTCGGGCGGGCGTGAAATTGGCGAGGCCGTCGTGGCGCATGCGGGTCGTAGAAGACGGTGGGCACTCGTAATGGGCGCATATACTCGACTTTGCGCGCATGCGGCGGGATCACGAAGAAGACGGGGGTAAGAGACGTACCGTGGAGGTGGCAGCAAGACCGAGGGGAGGGGAGTGGTCGGAATCTGCGATGCTGAGCTTGGTACGTTACGTGCCTTCCTGCATCCGCAAACGAGACGCGTGGACGGGCCGGGCGGAGGGCAGGGACCGGGTGCGAGGCGAAAGGGGGGGCAAGCGGCGGGCAGGCATTCGTGAACGACGGTGCGCACCTTTCCTTTCGATTCTCGCCTCTGCACCAGCTAGCCAAGACGGCGGAGACGGACCGGGAGGCGTGAGCGGGCCGGAGACGGGCAGGAGAGGAGGGCAGAGGAAAGCAGAGTGGCCGCGAGACTCGAGAGACACATCGTCGCTCTCTCGATGTCAAAAGCGGCGCCTAATCTCGCAGGTCGTGAACCGCCGCAGCCACGGTCTTGGACGCACCTTCGGACGTGTACGCAGCGCGTCCGCGTAGGTTTTCCTGTCGGAAGACGTCGAGGAGGGCCAGGTATGGGGTGAGTGCCACAGTGTTAAGTCGCGCGGCTGAGAGCGCTGACTTTGCGAAGAGGCAGAGCTTGCGCACGCAAGTGCGAGCCACTGCGAGAGGAGAACCGACGCAGCAGGTGGGCGGGGAGTCGAGCGCAACAGAGAGACAGACAATGAACAAAGGTATACGTTGTATATAGCAGTAGCACGTCGTGGTCAAACGCAGAGAGTCCCGTCGCCACGCCCCGCATGCTGTGTGCCCTGTAGACGCCCGCGCGCGACCGCGTTCTCCAAGTCCAAGTCCCGCGCGCGGACCCTCTGTGCGCCTCCGCCTCACCGTGCAATATGCACGCACTACCGTGTAGTATGCGCCCATTGCACTCCCTTACGAATCCGCTCTCTCCGGTACTCCCATGTCGCCACACAGAATATACTCCGCGCCTACCGTACACGTGTCTACCGAACGCCTCGCTCGCTCGCGCGAAGACGCCCATACAATGCAGCCACGGACAGCGACCCCACCTCTTCCAGTGCGCACGCCCAGCGGTCGTCAGAAGCCGCTTGCTCCACACCAGTTCCGTAGCCTCCGGTATGCCGCTGCCAAAGACTCCTTCGTTGAGCTCTTTGAAGAAGGCAGCCGCGTACGCTCGCAGACGCTCTCGCTCTGCCTCCTGCTGCTGTTTCTTCGTCATACGCGGCGCCTTGTCCGCGCCTGGGGTGCGCTTGCTCGGCCCTGGGCTTGGGCGTGCGGGGCGCGCGTTCGACTCCAGCACGAGCGTCGCGCGGGACTTCGGCTTGACAGGCTCGAACACATCCTCGTCAAGTTGGTCTTCGGAGGACGCGTCTTGGCCGTTGTTGTCATCCGGAGTTTGCGATTGTCGGAGAGGCGTGAAGGGACTCGAGGTGTTCCCGCGAGACGAGGGGGGCGGGCGGCGCCGGATGGGCTTCCGGGCGCTGCGGGGCTCGTTCCTAGCCATAGTCCTCTTCAGTACGGTCCTAGATAGTCTGGGGGAAGGACGTACAAAACGAGTATGGAACCGTCGTCGAGCGCAAACGGGTCATCAGGGGCGTTGTCCTGCTCTGCCTCGTCGTCGCTGTCATCGTCTAAGAACAGGGGGATCATGTTCTCAGCCTCTTCAGATGCAAGGAACGTCGTGGAAGAGCCCGCTCGGCCCTTGCCCTTCTTTTCCAATACGTTCTCCTTCGCCTCCGCAAATTCTTCGGCAGGTCCAGGGTCTCGAGGCTCCTCTTGTTCGTGATCTGACCCGGGCGGAGTCTCCGTCAGGTCTATGACATCGTCGTCCAGTGGCAGCCTCCGCCGGGGCGCTGCCTGAGTGGTCGCGGGTGGCCGACCCTGTTTGACGTCACCATTCTCAACCTCAGAATCAGAGCTGACAACTACGCGTCGCGCGTGGAGTGTTAGAAGGCGTATGCGCGTAGCCTGTGGCGTTTGTTGAGCACAGCCGTCGGGATTCCCCGCTGAGACCTGGGTGTCACCCTTTTGTGCGACAACGGACGTGCTACAGGGTCGCATGAATATGAATTCTATTTCACAGGAATGCGGCCAAGACGAATCACGATGCACTCACCTTGACTCGTCCTCGTCTTCCGAGTCGGATATCTCGATCACCGGGAGCTCATTCATGTTAACGTTGGCGAGCACGGCGCGTCTCGCCTTCACGCGTCTGCGTCCCAGCGTTAGAATTATGTTCGAGTCCAAAAAACAAGAGCATAGGAGGCAACATAGGTAGAAAGATCATGAGTCTCTCGAGTATGCACACCCAGAAAGCACAAGGGGGACTGACCGCTGCCGTTCCTCTTCACTGTCAGACACGACGAACTTCTCTGAAGGCTCCGCCGCCAGTGCGCGCCGGAAACGCGCCCTTCCCGGGGTAGTCTTTGTCGGGCTATCTGCGCCCGGCTTGCTTGAAGATCCCGGCAGTGTTTCCCAGCGCGGCGACTCCATGACCTTGAGTACTTCTTGACAAATACTGAACTGGACGGTGTGCTGAATGCGGGTTTTGAAGGTAGAATGGGTGGTATATAGTGATAGTAAGAGAACAAGAGTGAGTTGTCTACGCGTGTGGCCACTGCCTCTAGGTGCACCGTGAGTGGGTCGGGGTGGCACACCGGACAAACGGCGGCGCGCGTCGAGACGCGTCGGTCGCCCCGCCAAACCAACATCGAAGCCGGCGATCAAACCGGCGTCTCACACCTAATTGACGCGAAGACGCCCATACATTGCAGCCACCAGCAGAGACAGGCAGAGACATGCGAGAAGCTAGCTTCGGCGATTTATGCACTCATAGCAGACGATCCGTTAGGGAAGAGGGGATACGCATACGATACGATAAGTACATTGCAAATGCAGAGCAACGACAACGAGTCCGGTATGATACAGGCAGGGCGTAAGTACAAGTAACAACACGCCGTGCGGCATTTCCGCACGGCCTCTATAATTCGTGCACATCACCCCGGAAAATGTCGTGCTATATCGTTCTGGGATAGTCCATCCGAAAAATCCATTCGTCCTGCCAGAATATGCGTGTAGTTCGCGGCCGAGTGTTGTGTGCAGAATATTGCGATGCGATGCAATGAGATGAGAGGAGATGAGATGAGTCGTGGAGGTCGTGAGCGGCGTCGACGGCTGACGCGGATCCGGCCTGGCGTCTTCTATAGAATTCCGTCCAATCGTTCTTGTTGTGGTACAATGTGTGCGCGGTCAGCGCACTGTTTGTGCGCGCCCGCTCCGCCGCCCCTGTCGTCCGCTGCGGCCGATCGACGATCGGCGATCTGACAGCGACGTGCGCTCGATCACCGACAAAGGAAGGACAGGGGAGGCGAGCTGGGGCGTTGTGTATCCAAGAACGAAGGTCGGCGGTGGGTCTACACAGGAGCAGTAGCGGGCGGGTCCGCAGAGCGAATTCAGGGCGTTATGAGCTCTTTTGGTAGATCTTGACGCTCTTGACCTCCCAGTCTGCAAAAAAGAATATGCGGCATGAGACACTGCGCGCAACGAGGCTGAGGGCGTTAGTACTCACAAGCTTCCGTGAACGATGCACCGTTGTTCAGCACGAAGTCCGAACACGACGCGACACCGGTGCGCGCGGCACAGCTCTGATCCTGCCCGGGCACGCCTGATGCGTCCCACACGCCTCCTCCCCAATCACCGCTGGAATAAACGTGAGCGTCTGAAACACGGATCTTATGCTCACGGGGTACATACCAGAAGGTGGTGTCAAAGATGGCTGTGTGCTGATAAAAGTACTTGAACGGGTCGCATGACGAAGCGGCAAACGCGGCCATGGGCGTGCCCCATGTCGTGGGCTGTGGCGCACTGCTCGATAGGTCTGAGGGTATCGAGCTGCGCGGGAAAAACCAGGTCTTGATCCCATCGTCGTCCCACAGCGCTGTAGTCGTAAAGACGCACGATCAGCAGCGTGCCACCAGAAATTAGCAGAGAACTTACTAGCATAGACACCGCCGCCCATAGCGTTGAACGGAGCACCATACGAGTTCGTTTCGCTTGCGCGCACACCACAACCCGCGTTCCCGGTGTCCGCAGCAGCACAGTCCGTTCCGCCAATCAGAGAGCCTGAGATGCCCAACGCGCTGGGATCCGACGAGGGCATGCTGCAACCGGGCGCCGTGTGGAGCGTCACCTGGTTGTTGGTGTAGTCGTTCACACCCTCGACCATGTCGATCTCGCCGCCTGCAGGCCAGCCCGGACCTATCACAAGAAGTCAGTTGCGGCACATTACGCTATTCGCGATAAAACATACCGTTGCTCCAGAAAGCTGGCCATGTCCCGCAACCCGTCGGCATGTGTACGGCGTCCAATACAACTAGGCCGCCGGTGTAGCTATACTGCGAGGTTATACGTATACTTTTGCGGTAGGTCGACACAGTCCCGGTCGTCTCTGCTCGCATGATAGCATTCCCCGCGGCGTTGATCTCAGTGAGATTAGAGGAGTTCTAGATATCTGAGTCAGCGCGATATCCTGCAGCACGAGATATCTAGCAGAATGTCAAACTTACGGCCGTGTCTTTGTCCACATACTGCGCGACACCGTGCGTCGTTGTGTCTGGACTGTTCTGGAAATCCCACCCGTCGAAGAAAGTGTCACCTTCCTATAAGAGATAAATGTGTCAAATTGTGGCGTAATCGGAGGTGAAGGCACAACGCACGTAGCTCTGCGCAACTTTCCACGGCGATGAAGAGCTGCCCGAGGAGCTTCCTGTTGCGGTCGGTGAGGCAGTGGCAGGACTTGTTGATTGTGTTGCGGCTGCTTTCGTTGTGGTAGTTGCAGCATTTGTGGGAGAAGTCGTCGGCGTTGGCGAAGACGACACAACGGACGAGGCGGCGGTGGAAGAAGCACTCGGTGAGATACCCGTATCGCTCGAACTCGGGGCACTGGACCCACTGGTGCTATTATTTGCAATCCCGAGCGCTGTGTTCCCGTTGTTCACGCAGTACGTATTCGACGACTGGAACGAGATATATTGAGTATACTACGCTTACTGCTGCGGAAGGCAAATGGCTGTGTACGCGAGGCGACGGACGTCGAGGAGGCCAGTGCGCCGCTTGATTATGTGACGGTAAACGGGTCGCGCTGCGCGGGAGAGTCAGGACTCGGAGTCGCGCGAGAACAACGCAGCGTCGCTGGGTGTGGCAGTGGCGAGCAGGAAGAGCAGGAGGGGGACGTGGATGTACATCGCGCGGGCGTCCGAGGGTGAGGTGTGGTGGTGGTCGGCGGGAGACAAGCTCGAGGAGCATCTGCGGCAAGTGGGCGATAGGAGGTCGGACCGGAGAAACAGACCGCGAGACGCAGCCTGGGTCGCGTGAGGCAGGATCTTCGCAGGGAAAGAGGCGGGGAAGAGAGAAGGCTCGGAGCGGGACGAGGGGATCTATGTACACGCTGATGGGGAGAGGAGAGGGGCGGAGAGCCTCGCAGACTTGTGGAGAGAACCACGTCTTCGTAAGCGCCCATCGCCACGATCGCGCGCTCCTCGACTCCGGTCCGGCGCATCCGGATATCCAGGTGCGATGCCGTCATCGTCTGTCGCCGCGCAGACAGCCCTCGAGCAGCCCTCTTGCGCTCTCCCACCCACTCACCCACTCTCTCCGACCGCCTCCAAAACGCACTCGACGCCACCGCACTGGCGCTCACACCCTTCCAACCGTGTTTTTGGCGGGCAGCTCGCGTCGTTCCAACGCTCAAAGTCACGTTCTCTCCCGATCTCGCCCCTCCTCGCCACCGTTCTAACCGTGCTTGACCGCGCTCGATCTACCTTTTGGCGCAGAGCTCGCTCTCTCGACCGCATCACAGCGCCGCTCGTCTGTGCCTCCGTCCGCCCTTTCGAGGACCCGTCCGCCCTCTCCGCGCGCTGCTAGTCCGTCCGTCCGCTGCTCCCTTCTCCCTCGTGCCGTCCGGGCCAAGTGCATGCAGCCCCGCCGCCTGTCCCGCTCGATGCATACTGCACGCAAGTCTTCACCTTCACACCCTGCGCATATAGATCTCTCACGCCGTTCTATTGCACACAGGCTACTAACAGCGCTAGTGGGCACAGCTGGACTCGCCGTCCCTGTCCCTGCCCATAGCCATGCTAGATGCGTATGCACAAATCGCACTTGCCGCGGCGGGCAGTACACGGAACACGCGTCGCAGCGCTATCTGACAGTATTTTGACGTGCTTAGCACAGTGCCCCCCGACTAGAGCCCCGAATTCGCCTCGCTCTTTGGCCTACATTCGTTTCCACTAACCGAATCCGTACGTCTCGATTATTCTGCTGCAGAGCAGCTCAAGTGTACATGTATGTTACAGTACTGTCGCCGGAGCCCCGGCCTCGCGCTGACATCGACACAAATCTAGACGACGAATCCCGCCCATCTCTACTGCCGGGATCGCGCGTCCTCCATCACGTCGTGGGTCCTGTCGCAGGAGGTGAGCATGTCGTCTGCACCACGATCCCCGCCGGTCCGCTTACCTGCCCGATCTGCACCACAGGATACACAGACACGACCGCGCTGCGACGATAGCGCCACCACGCAACCATCAGCACTGTGTCATCTGGACAGCGCCCCGGCCACTCACCAAATTAGCAGAGGTTGCCCGGGCCTCCTCGCTGCGGTCAGACGAGCGTCGGTGCAGAGCAATACCAGAGCTACCGGGGTACGGAATCGACGTTGACGGTTGGCCAGGGAGGCGAAGAGAGGAGGTGGTGGTGGAGGAGGGGGGAGAAGGTGGGGGATGAGGTATCGGCCGTACGTCCCACCTTTTATCGACTGTCTGCATCTGCATACGCGAGACTCACGCACGGGCCAGGCAGCTCCGCGATGGGCCCCGCTGTATCCATCTCGGACGGGCGCCGCTCGGGGCGGCCTCGAGTGACGACTTACGCATGTGCACCCCCGAGCGCAGAACATCGGCCGCGATTGGCTCCGCACAGCGCCGTTCTGCGGCCGCCTCGACGCACAGCACGCATCCCAGGCCGTCTACCCACGCTCGCCACCGCGCACGACGTCTCCACGCCGACGCGCGCATCTCGCCATCTCGTCGCGCGGAAACGGACGCAGGCGTACAGGGGCAATAACGCACACGGAGCACGCCCCACCTGAAACGCGCACGAGGATGCGTGCAGACGGAGACGGTGCGTGTGCGCCGCGTACCGTGTTGGCGGCAGGAGGTGCGCGCGTATCACGCCCGTGCTGTGGGTCCAGGTCCGCCGCGCGCGGGCGAGCCGACGTCGTCTGCATCTGTCTCCACGGCCGCTTGGCCCCACTTCGAGGAGGCGGGCGCTGCGGGCCTTCGATCCGCGGAGGACTCGGAGGCGGGTTTTCGATGTGCGGCCGGCTGGTTCAATTTTGGGACGATGCGGCGGTGATTTGCCATCGTACGACGGCAGCGACGAGAGGATCTCGAGAACCTGTTTGCGATACGAGGGCCCGTTTCCTGGACGGCGATCGTAGTTCGTACGTGACAGCACCGTCGTCATCAAACGCTCTGCCTGTGCAGCTACCGGACAGCTCCCCCGGCCGACTCTGTGTCCATCCCGCCCTGCACCTTCGCCCGGACCTCGCAGCAGCAGGCGGCCCCGGGCACTCGTACGACGGGATATGTGGGATGGGACGGCCTCTAGCGCGTCCGCCAGGCAAGGCAACACTGTGCCGGCTCGTCTGCCCCCTGCGTCGTTCAGGCCACCCCACATCCGCGCGATTGGCTGACAGTTCGAGGCCGCCATTGCCGCAGGAGAGAGGCGGCGGTGGATACGACCTGCGTGCTGATCGGACGGCGCTTCATGATCGGTGGACCACAACGTCGTCGGGGCGTGCCCGGGCCCCGGCAATGGCACCAGCGGCGGACGTTTGCGGGCGGCGCGCGTGTCTCAGAAGACGTTACACAGGTGTCCATCGGCGCCCGTGCCTCGACGCACCGGGCTTCCTATCTGGAGGCAGGTCTATTTGCGCTTGGCGGCGCACCGGACGTTTCGGGTGAAGCACCGACCTAGACGATACGCCGTCATGTCCGAATCGAGCGCGGGCGGATTCGCCTGGTGGGACGGGTTGCGACGTGCTGGGATACTCCGAGCTCGCCCCTGGCCGTGGTGAGTACATCACCGCCTCCTCGAAACAACTGCCAGAGCGGCTGATCGTGTCGGAAACCCGCGCAGATCGCCTATGCAACGTCGCGTTGACAGTTTGCGTGTGCCTGTGGGTTCCGGCTCGTACACACTAGTGTCACACGAGCTGCACTCGGGGCCGGGTTCTACGCACATCCCAGCCTCGTACGCTGCAGGAAAGCTTGCTCGACGAGCGGCGAGTCCGATACAGCGTTTCCGCCATACGACAGGACGCACCTGTACCGCGCTATGTAGCCAACGTGCGACGACGGCAGAATTCACGCACCTTCCATATCGTAGTCCAGGACTTGTCGAGTGTTGCGGCGGATACGACTCGTGCGCCGGGTCCGCGCCGACGGCAATGTGCGCACGAGGCAGCGTCGAGAGAGCCGTGTACGACGAACTTGAACGCGAAGCACAGACATTCGTGCGTGCGCAGGACATTGCTCGGACCGCGACCGCGTCTCTGACGCGATTCTCACCCCGTGCGTGGCATCCTCGAATGCGTCTGAGGTGAGTGCCCGTGTTGTCTCGCTCTCCTACGCCCCTAGCTCACGGCGAACGCGTTTGACACAGTGGGAGCCCCGCGCAGGTCGCGGCGCAAGGGCTGGCATGCTCGGCGAAGCCGCGGGCGCGACCGATTAACTCGTCCGCCCCAAAGCGCCATGAAGCACGTTCACCAGGCGGGGAAACACTACTACACCTGCACGGCGTTTGCGACGTTTGGCGCGCCCTATTCGCACTCCATCCGACGTCGCTCATAGCTACTGCGCCGTGTATCCGAGTTTTGACTCTTTCATTCATGCATGTAGATTACCAGCGCCCCTGGTACACCAAATTCCGAGACGCACCCGTGCCTACGATCGAGCCGCATCCGCGGAGAACGAAGGGTGCGTCTCTATCTGACACATGCCATATGCTGCACTCTGCAGTGCGGCAGCCCGTCGAGACTGGGTCGCTTCAAGTGGCTCGAGAAGCTGCTTCGGTGCAGACCGTCCAAATGCCCCGCACGCCACGGCACATCGTTCACGTTCTCCGGGGCGCATGGCGCACTGCTCGATTGGCACCGCACGTTGCTGACTCTTGACGCGGTGCGTGCGCGAGACGCAGAATGTCAGTCGCCGTTCTCGCTCGGGTGCGTCCAAATACGCCCAATTCCAGCTATCTGGCGGCGAGATGTCCGCGAAAACATCCCAGATGGGCCGTTAGACGCACCCCGAGCCCTCCACGCTCGTAGCAGTTTGGGGCGGCGCGCTCAGCGCTTGCGTCCGGTGCGTATCCAGCTCGTGTGCGCGTTCACGCCGCTGACTGCGCCATACTCAGATGACATGAGCACAGAAATGCGGACATTGTCCGCTACGGCGCTCGCCTCCGTCTCAGAATACGCCCGGAGCCTCGCGTTGGCATCACAGTCGTCGGTGACGACGCTGACGCTGTACGAAGACGTCGACCACGCGGGTGCTGCACGGTGCCCGTGCCCAGGCCGACGTCCTTGTGGACGATCTCGCGCTCCGACGACACACTCTAGGACTTTCAAACCAGGACGATACGCTCCCATGAACCAGGGTGCATGTCCCCCGCGCGTTTCGTCGCGATCCGAGGAGGTTTGTTTTCGCTGATTTCGACCGATTTCATGTGCAAGAACAGGAAAACGACAGAAAATCTTGCGTCCCGCCACGCTCCCGTCCCTTAGCGCTCCAAGATTTGGCACGCACAACCCATGGCATCCTCTGTACTAGCCCGCGTTGCTTCTGGGCGCGCCCGGACACTTTGATTTTGGTCATCTCGCGGCATGACCGTATTTCTGGCGCGGAGCCAGCAAGCACCGGACACGACGGCAGTAAGCGGCGCATGTCGGCGACCCTTTCGATGCATCGAACGCAACACAAGCGCGTATAGGAACGCTACGCGCGCCGCGAGAGATGTACGGAATGGTGCGCGCAGGGATTTCGCTGTTCCGCTTGTGCCAAGGGCTCACATTTGCCCAGATTCGCGAACCGCGTACACGGCGGCACTCGTCGTGGAAACCCGTGTGCCGCCTCGTAACGAGCGTGTACCGTCCCCTGTGCGCACTACGGGCGCGTGGACTCTGGAACGGCGCCGTCGCGGGAGGGTGCTTGGGCGATCTCGCCCTCAGTGATGGATGGCGCCGCCGTCATGTTCGACCCGCCTCGACTTGGACGGCCCTGCGGTGCGAGGAATGCTTCAATATATCGCATTTTGGCTTTACAACCGTGGGTACAAGCTATACAATGGGGCGGGACAGATGGAAGAATGGATCATATCATAGTATGTACACTGCACCGTGCCGTGCCTGTTCCGCAGACCGCTCTAACGGTGTAACCTGCCATAGGACGCACGCAAACGCGCTCGGACGCTTTGCTCGAGACGTCGGAAGGCACCCACGGCCACGTCTTGCCCTCGGCACGATAGGCGACACGCTGTTAGGGTGGGATGCGAAGCCGTGCAACCTGCGCACCCTCGCGCGACCGCGATGCTGCATGGCAGCATCCGCAGTGCCTGGTGCACGGCCTTCATAGGCGCGTTCTTCCTTGCCTCCGCGTCGGATCCGCTATTCGGTGTCGACCGAAGAGGACAGCCCGCAGTCTCGCAACCAATCAAGTCGCACTTGCGCGCCCGTGTGCAGACACTTCCGCGTCTGCTACGCGCCGGGAAGCTGGGGTCTTGCTCATCGAGAGGATGATAACCACAGCCGCTACAGCCGACTTATCAGTATGGTGCGGGAGTATGACGGCGGGAGTCATGGCCGCGCCTAGCTGGTTATATCGTTCACTCTGATGGCCCCTACCAAATCATGATTTTTCGCCTTCTGTACATACCCCATTGTCAGATACAGCTGAGGCAAGAACAATTTACGGAATACGTGCCTGCGCCGCGACCCATATTTCTATCTACACGAGCCTATTTCTATTTACACGAGCCGAATTTATCAAGTGGACTCACACCTGGTGATGCGAGTTTGTACCGTCTGCTTGGCGTCCCACCATTACACACGACCGCCCAGCGAGATGCGAGATGCTGCGCGCGTGTCGGGCGGCGGGAGGGTGGGCTCGAGCCGCGGGCGGAGGCTCTTCTAGAACACTCACGTAGCTCAAGTGAATTGCATCACCACAGAGCTCTTAGAATACAGCTCGTGGGGGAGACGACACCACGTCGGACGTCAGGATCGCTTGCCTAGTGATTGTCTTCCGAGGGACACCACGTACACTCATTCTGTCTCAGAGCTCACACCAGATGCTTGGTCGCTAAGCGCTTCGGCCGTTGAACGGCGCCGGAACTGTATCCAGGGGCGCGTGCAATGAGATGTGGCAGGCTGATGGAGAGGAGGCCCGACGTCCCGGCGAAGGCTATGGCTAGCGATGTCTTCGGAGAGTCGGCGGGCTTGGGCGCGTGGGGATGGACGCGAACCTGCCATCAGGATTTACTGAACATCGCCCATCGGTGTCAGGAAACAGTACCGTATTTGAATTCCGGTGTCCTCAAAGTTATATCTGTTATGATGTAACGGTACAGTCAATGGTGAGCGTAGGCCTTCTATGAGACGAGGAAACACTCGCATTGTCTACCGCACAGCTCCGTGCACCGAAAACCGTCGCCTCGGTGCTCACGGCCGGACTCGCCTATATGGCACTGCTCAGGTGGATGCGGTTATGCAAAAAACCGGAGGCCGCCATTCTAGGTACCAGCACGAGCCCTGGAACCGGACGGTCGTAAAAAATTCTTGATACTGTGCCGATAGTGATGCTGGCTACCAGGTCGCTAAGTTTTTGGCATTATAATCAGCTGCGCTCGTCGTGTAAATACATGAGAGTTAGTAATCAGACACAAGCGACAGTCCGATGAACATAAACTTACTAGAACCCGAGTGTCTGTGCCACGGGTATGAGCGGCACATTGGATGTATCGGGAATCACGTTCCGGACAACCTCCATGCCCGCTGGCGGCTGACGGGAAGCTATGGCATTTATCCTGAAGTGACGCAGCTCGGGCGGACGGCCAAGATGGAGCCAGTCGACTACGAGTTGCCGCAGCAAGTCCAGATGTTGAACGAGAGCGACCATAAGCCACGCACCTCGTATGATAGCCCGGGCTCGCAGGAGACGCTCTTCTTGTGGGCCAAACAGGGCGCGATCGCATCAAGAGGGGGTACCGCCGGCGAGGTCTGTGGTGTAGCGCCAACGGACTAGTGTGGGACGTAGCGATGCGGACGCAAAGATCGCCGATGCGCGGGGGAAAAGAGATTCTTCTGCTAAAGGATATCCGCCGCTTAGCACGTCTCCCGAGTTTGACACACCAAACGGGACGCTCATTCTCGTTTGCAGCAACCCTGCCTATCTGTGATGGATCCGTATGTCTGGAGCCACAGGCGTGTCCTGTGATGTGCCATATGTTGTATGAAGGACCGACCGAAGTGCCTTCGCAATTCTGGGGACGCACTCACCACCCTCTGCTCGTGCTCTCCGTTCGTTTCTCACCCCCTTGCCCCCTTGCCCCGGCCCATCTCTTTCTGCATTCCTCCTCCACTTGTGCGCACATTCTTCCCCCACTTGCAGACCCTATCCTTTGATAGGTAAGTTGACATCGCTGTCTGATGATTTAGACTTCACTCACATGTGCCCGCCTGCAGCCGTAAGGCATCCTACTTTCGGCTGTGTCGTTCTGCCCATGGTGGCACCTTGCCCGCGGCTGCCCTCCAGTTACATCCTTCTACCGTAAGCAAACTATTCTTGTCAGTTCTGGCCACCGTCCATGGAGTTGCGCTGTGCTCACCGGACTGACTCGAAGGCAGCATGACTCGCCGGCGCCGTGCAAAGTCTGGTTTCCACGCGCTTGGAGACACCGCCCGCGGCCAGTACGCACGGAAGGAGATGCAGATGCGGGGCGAGGTACGGAAAGGGCTGAAGGAGATACTGGGTGAGCAAGTCGTCGGCTCCGGAGGCGCAGGTGGCGCATGCTCACATACTCACCAGTGACGCGCGTCGGCGACGTGGACCCCAAGGTGTCGATGCATTGGACCGTGAGCGGCCTCTGCCACAACATCTACCTTCGCCACCGCCTCAAACTTGTCGGGTGGCCGAAGGGGATCGCTTTCGGTGACTTGAGCAAGACGGTGACCGGGCTGGACCGGATCTCGATACTCGTCCAGGCCCTACGGAGCGGGGACCTCACATTTGAGCCTATCTCACAGGCCGAGTACGATGCTGCTAAGCAGAATCCTCTGCTTGCAGCGCCCACTCACCTGAACGGAGGCCTGAGGCCGCATCCGAGCCGCAACGACACCGGGAGGCGGCGGGGCAGCAGCAAGGTCGACCCAGCAATCTACCCACCTCGACACGTGCGAGATGGGCCGAAGTCGTCGAAAGTGGTGTCGGACGAAGCAGAGGCAAGGGCGGAGGGACCGGAGGAGCCGCACGAGCTGTTCAAGGGCGGGCAGCTGTATGCGGGGCCGCGTCCTGGCCGATTGTGCATCTTGAACTGACAGCGATGGGCGTTCACGCAGATCAAGAAATGTTCTACTATACATTAGACAGATGAAATACGCCGTTTCAGAGCGAACAAGAGGCGGCACACCAAGAGAGGGATGCCGCAGCCGCAGGAGGTGGTGCCTGGTGGAACGAAGGAAGACGCACGCGCGCATTCCTAATCGGGAAGAATTCATCGCAGCGGTGCACTCACATCCGGCGTCTATTGCATCTCTCTTCTCCCGCACTTCGTACATCACTCATTCGAGCCTTTCCCAGTATCGCTAGCGTTGTATTGGCGATATCAGCACTTCAACAAGTACGTGCTGTGTCTGAGAAAGGTTATGGCAGGTGCGCTGGGCTACGCGGTGCTGCGGCGGCCGTTCCGATGGTGACAAATTGAGTACTGTCAGGAGGAACCAAATCGGCTGCACACAGCGCCAATTTGGATGCGACAGCTGCATAACAAAATGGTGCAGTGTACGAGATGTTCTGATGGCTACCCGAGTGACCCGTCCAGCCCCATCTGTGTTGGGTTGGGTGACTATCTCGAGGTGCAGTGTGTCTGCTCCTCAAGGTGTTTACCCACCTTGCTCACAATGTGGCTGCTTGCGAGGGCGTAAACCTTTGTGGCCTGGGCGTAAGACTAGCAAGGGTGTGCGATCATAAGCTAAGATTAGAGTGGTGTACAGCCCAAATGTTAAGCGAGCGTGCAATTCAAGCAAGCGGGTAACATTTTAGCACAAACGAACATCAGAAAATGACCTGCCAGCCCGACTGAACACACTTGGCTGCAAATCAACAGGTCCCTCTCACGCCTCAACCGACTTAGGTACAGGCGGGTTGCTGGGATGAGCTGGTATAGCCTCTCTTGCCCGGCATACTCCCGTCTCCCCCTCCGTCTCCCCCTCCGTCTCCCCCTCCATCTCCCCCTCCTAACCTGTCTCCCCACCCCGCCCTGCCCTGCCCTTGCATTGACCAATGTGGACTATGACTATGTATACTGCAAACGGTAAGTACCGAGCACCCCCGCTGCTGTGAGGATCAGCACACTTACAAGTTTAAACAACAAAAATGTCAGCCATACATGGGAGCCAGGAGGACGGTGTAAGCAGATGACATCGGTGAGAGCACATTCTTGAGTATGCTCACGTTGTGCACATGACCCCACCCCCACCCACACGATGCACTTCAGCGCACAACCCCTGCCGCTCGGTGCTCACTGATGGTTGCGCGTATCCCACCACAACACTCGTACGTGTCCTCTTCGCATCGTAGACGAGCTGCAAACCAGTCATTGACTTGTTCCCACAGCTCACTCGGCGGCAGGCCAGTCAGCCACGCGGCGATCCCACGCCCGGGGCGCAACTGGGCAGAAGAGGCTGACGACGATGCTCGGTCGTCGGGAGCTGGCCAGGTTGCTGTCAACGACTTGCGTGCAGGTGCGCGGCGCGGCGCGGGCGCTTTCAGACGCGGAGCCGGGGAGACAACACAGTACCACTGCGGCTGTGCGGCAGCGAAGGCGAGGTACGCGGGCGCGCGTGGGGATCGTGAATCTCGCGTTGCCGCTGCGACGCATCGACGGTACGCGCCCCGAGATGACAGTATACGGCGCGAGCATATACTCGGGCGGGCGTGAAATTGGCGAGGACGGTGGGCACTCGTAATGGGCGCATATACTCGACTTTGCGCGCATGCGGCGGGATCACGAAGAAGACGGGGGTAAGAGACGTACCGTGGAGGTGGCAGCAAGACCGAGGGGAGGGGAGCGGTCGGAATCTGCGATGCTGAGCTTGGTACGTTACGTGCCTTCATGCATCCGCAAACGAGACGCGTGGACGGGCCGGGCGGAGGGCAGGGACCGGGCGCGAGGCGAAAGGGGGGACAAGCGGCGGGCAGGCATTCGTGAACGACGGTGCGCACCTTTCCTTTCGATTCTCGCCTCTGCACCAGCTAGCCAAGACAGCGGAGACGGACCGGGAGGCGTGAGCGGGCCGGAGACGGGCAGGAGAGGAGGGCAGAAGAGTGGCCGCGAGCCTCGAGAGACACATCGTCGCTCTCTCGATGTCAAACCCGGCGCCTAATCTCGCAGGCCGTGAACCGCCGCAGCCACGGTCTTGGACGCACCTTCGGACGTGTACGCAGCGCGTCCGCGTAGGTTTTCCTGTCGGAAGACGTCGAGGAGGGCCAGGTATGGGGTGAGTGCCACAGTGTTCAGTCGCGCGGCTGAGAGCGCTGACTTTGCGAAGAGGCAGAGCTTGCGCACGCAAGTGCGAGCCACTGCGAGAGGAGAACCGACGCAGCAGGTGGGCGGGGAGTCGAGCGCAACAGAGAGACAGACAATGAACAAAGGTATACGTTGTATATAGCAGTAGCACGTCGTGGTCAAAAGCAGAGAGTCCCGTCGCCGCGCCCCGCATGCTGTGTCCCCTGTAGACGCCCGCGCGCGACCGCGTTCTCCAAGTCCAAGTCCCGCGCGCGGACCCTCTGTGCGCCTCCGCCTCACCGTGCAATATGCACGCACTACCGTGTAGTATGCGCCCATTGCACTCCCTTACGAATCCGCTCTCTCCGGTACTCCCATGTCGCCACACACAATATACTCCGCGCCTGCCGTACACGTGTCTACCGAACGCCTCGCTCGCTCGCGCGAAGACGCCCATACAATGCAGCCACGGACAGCGACCCCACCTCTTCCAGTGCGCACGCCCAGCGGTCGTCAGAAGTCGCTTGCTCCACACCAGTTCCGTAGCCTTCGGTATGCCGCTGCCGAAGACTCCTTCGTTGAGCTCTTTGAAGAAGGCAGCCGCGTACGCCCGCAGGCGCTCTCGCTCTGCCTCCTGCTGCTGTTTCTTCGTCATACGCGGCGCCTTGCCCGCGCCTGGGGTGCGCTTGCTCGGCCCTGGGCTTGGGCGTGCGGGGCGCGCGTTCGACTCCAGCACGAGCGTCGCGCGGGACTTCGGCTTGACGGGCTCGAACACGTCCTCGTCAAGTTGGTCTTCTGAGGACGCGTCTTGGCCGTTGTTGTCGTCTGGAGTTTGCGATTGTTGAAGGGGGGTGAATGGACTCGAGGTGTTCCCGCGGGAGGAGGGGGGTAGGCGACGCCGGATAGGCTTCCGGGCGCTGCGGGGCTCGTTCCTGTGTATGATCATCCTCAGTATAGCTTCGTGCAATTTAGGAGGGGGACGTACAGAACAAGTATGGACCCGTCGTCGAGAGCAAAAGGGTCATCAGGGGCGTTGTCCTGCTCCGCCTCATCGTCGCTGTCGTCCAAGAACAGCGGGATGATGTTCTCGGCCTCCTCGGATGCAAGGGCCGTCGTGGAAGAGCCCGCCCTGCCTTTGCCCTTTTTTTGCAGCGTGATCTCCTTCGTCTTCGCAGAGTCTATGGCAGGTACAGCGTTTCGAGGCTCCTCATGTTCGTGATCTGACCCGGGCGGAGACTCCGTCAAGTCTATGATATCGTCGTCCAGTGGCAGTCGGCGCCGACGCACAGCCTGCGGGGTCGCGGGTGGCTGACCCTGTACGGCATCGCCGTTCTCAGCTTCAGAATCAGAACTGACGACAACGCGCCGCGCATGGAGTGTCAGAAGGCGCGTCCGTGTAGCCTGTGGCATTTGTTGAGCAGAGCCGTCGGGATTCCCCGCTGAGACCTGGGAGTCACCCTTTTGTGCGACAACGGACGTGCTACAGGGTCGCATGAATAAGAATTCTATTTCACAGGAATGCGGTCAAGACGAATCACCATGCACTCACCTTGACTCGTCCTCGTCTTCCGAGTCGGATATCTCGATCACCGGGAGCTCATTCATATTAACATTCGCGAGCACGGCGCGTCTCGCCTTCACGCGTCTGTGTCCCGACGTCAGAAGTACGTCCGAGCACAGAGAGACCAAAGGGGAGGAGGGAACATGAGTAGAGTCTCATGAGCCTCTCGAGTATGTCGACGCAGAAAGCGCAACTCGGGGGGACTGACCGCTGCCGTTCCTCTTCACTGTCAGACACGACGAACTTCTCTGAAGGCTCCGCCGCCAGTGCGCGCCGGAAACGCGCCCTTCCCGGGGTAGTCTTTGTCGGGCTATCTGCGCCCGGCTTGCTTGAAGATCCCGGCAGTGTTTCCCAGCGCGGCGACTCCATGACCTTGAGTACTTGTTGACAAATACTGAACTGGACGGTGTGCTGAATGCGGGTTTTGAAGGTAGAATGGGTGGTAGTGATAGCAAGAGAACAAGAGTGAGTTGTCTACGCGTGTGGCCACTGCCTCTAGGTGCACCGTGAGTGGGTCGGGGTGGCACACCGGACAAACGGCGGCGCGCGTCGAAACGCGTCGGTCGCCCCGCCAAACCAACATCGAAGCCGGCGATCAAACCGGCGTCTCACACCTAATTAACGCGAAGACGCCCATACATTGCAGCCACCAGCAGAGACAGGCAGAGACATGCGAGAAGCTAGCTTCGGCGATTTATGCGCCCATAGCAGACGATCCGTTAGGGAAGAGGGGATACGCATACGATATGATAAGTACATTGCAAATGCAGAGCAACGACGACGAGTACGGTATGATACAGGCAGGGCGTAAGTACAAGTAACAACACGGGTCGCGGCGGCATCTGCGCACGGCTTCTATAAATCATGCATATCGTGCCGGAAAATGTCGCGCTATATCGTTCTGCGATAGTCCATTTGAATTCTCCGTTCGTCCTGCCGGAAGTGCCATGTAATGCGCGGTCGTGTGCTAAATGTGCCAGGTAAAATGGTGTGATGGGATATAATGAGTCGTGGGGGTCGTGAGCGGCGTCGGTGGTTGACGCGGATCCGGCCTGGCGTCTTCTATAGAATTCCGTCCAATCGTTCTTGTTGTTGTACAGTGTGTACGCAGTTGGCGCACTATTTGGGCGCGCCCGCCGCCCCGCCCCTGTCGTCCACTGCGGTCGATCGACGATCGGCGATCTGACAGCGACGTGCGCTCGATCACCGACAGACAAAGGAAGGACTAGGAAGGACAGGAGGCGAACTGAGGCGTTGTGTATCCAAGAACGACGGTCGGCGGTGGGTCCACATCGTAGCGGAACCGGGCAAAACTGCAACGCGAAGCGCGTTATGAGCTCTTTTGGTAGATCTTTACGCTCTTGACCTCCCAGTCTGCAAAAAGAGGTCTCATGAGATGCTGCGCGCAACGAGACTGAGGCAGCTGGCACTTACAAGCTTCAGTGAACGATGCGCCGTTATTGAGCACGAAGTCCGAGCACGACGCGACACCGGTGCGCGCGGCACAGCTCTGATCCTGCCCGGGCACGCCTGATGCGTCCCACACGCCTCCTCCCCAATCACCGCTGGAATAAACGTGAGCGTCTGAAACACAGATCTTATGCTCACGGGGTACATACCAGAACGTGGTGTCAAAAATGGCTGTGTGCTGATAGAAGTACTTGAACGGGTCGCATGACGAGGCCGCGAATGCGGCCATGGGCGTGCCCCATGTCGTGGGCTGTGGCGCACTGCTCGACAGGTCTGAGGGTATCGAGCTGCGCGGGAAAAACCACGTCTTGATCCCATCGTCGTCCCACAGCGCTGTAGTCGCAAAGAAGCACGATCAGCATCGTGCCACCCGAAATTAGCAGAGAACTTACTAGCATAGACACCGCCGCCCATAGCGTTGAACGGAGCACCATACGAGTTCGTTTCGCTTGCGCGCACACCACAACCCGCGTTCCCGGTGTCCGCAGCAGCACAGTCCGTTCCGCCAATCAGAGAGCCTGAGATGCCCAACGCGCTGGGATCCGAGGAGGGCATGCTGCAACCGGGCGCCGTGTGGAGCGTCACCTGGTTGTTGGTGTAGTCGTTCACACCCTCGACCATGTCGATCTCGCCGCCTGCAGGCCAGCCCGGACCTATCACAAGAAGTCAGTTGCGGCACATTACACTATTCGCGATAAAACATACCGTTGCTCCAGAAAGCTGGCCATGTCCCGCAACCCGTCGGCATGTGTACGGCGTCCAATACAACTAGGCCGCCGGTGTAGCTATACTGCGAGGTTATACGTATGCTTTTGCGGTAGGTCGACACAGTCCCAGTCGTCTCCGCTCGCATGATAGCATTGCCCGCGGCGTTGATCTCAGTGAGATTAGAGGAGTTCTGGATATCTGAGTCAGCACAACATCCTGCTGCACAAGATATCCGGCGATATAGTAAACTTACGGCCGTGTCTTTATCCACATATTGCGCGACACCGTGCGTCGTTGTGTCTGGAGAGTTCTGGAAGTCCCACCCGTCGAAGAAAGTGTCACCTTCCTATAAGAGATAAATGTGTCAAATTGTGGCGTAATCGGAGGTGAAGGCACAACGCACGTAGCTCTGCGCAACTTTCCACGGCGATGAAGAGCTGCCCGAGGAGCTTCCTGTTGCGGTCGGTGAGGCAGTGGCAGGACTTGTTGATTGTGTTGCGGCTGCTTTCGTTGTGGTAGTTGCAGCATTTGTGGGAGAAGTCGTCGGCGTTGGCGAAGACGACACAACGGACGAGGCGGCGGTGGAAGAAGCACTCGGTGAGATACCCGTATCGCTCGAACTCGGGGCACTGGACCCACTGGTGCCATTATTTGCAATTCCGAGCCCTGTGTTCCCGTTGTTCACGCAGTACATCTTGGATGACTGGAACAACACCTGCTGCTGCTGCTGTGCTTGCTGCTGCTGGAGGCGGATGCCAGTGTACGCGAGGCGGAGGTCGTCGAGGAGCCCTGTGCTCCGCTTGATTACGTGACGGCGAACGTGTCGCGCTGCGCGGGAGAGCGAGGACTCGGAGTCGCGCGAGAACAACGCAGCATCGCTAGGCGCGGCATTGGCGAGCAGGAAGAGGAGGAGGGGGACGTGGATGTACATCCTGCGCGCGTCCGAGGGTGGGGTGTGGTGGTGGTTGGCGGGAGACAAGCTCGAGGAGCGTCTGCGGCAAGTGGGCGATAGGTGGTCGGATCGGAGAAACAGACCGCGAGGCGCAGCCTGGGTCGCGTGCGAGGTCGTGAGGCAGGATCTTCGCAGGGAGAAAGAGGCGGGGAAAGAGAGAAGCCTCGGAGCGGGACGAGGGGATATATGTACACGCTGACGGAGAGGGAGAAGGGGGAGAAAGTGAGAGAGGCGGAGAGCCTCGCAAACTTGTGGAGAGAACCACGTCTTCCTAAGCGCCCATCACGACAATCCTCATGTCGCGCGCTCCTTCCGGACCGGCCCCAGATATCCAGGTACCGGCACGGCCGTCATCGTGCGTCTTGTCCTTCTCGTCCTCCAGCTGGCCTCCGCGACATACGAGCGAGTCGGTCATCGCTGAGCACATTGGCCGACACCGTCGCCTCCGCGTTCCGAAATTAACTCGCACATCCCGGTCATTCGAGCCGTGCAGGCTTCTCTATGAACGCGTCCGTCTTCCTCCGACCGCAGCACGCCCATCCTCGTCCCGACCGAAGCCACCCCACCCGTCCAATAATAGCCCGTGCGCCTCGCCCAACTACACGCCTTCTTTCCTTCTCCTTCTGCTGCAGCTGGAGCCCTGGATAATACACCTGTGGAATTCAGTACGGCCGCAGCGCTCCAGCGGTGCACATCGCCTCTTCATTCGCGCCCGAGGACGCACAGTCATGCCTCCCACACCGGGGACACGCCGCGCGCGTGCTGCGAACCTAAGTCCAGCCGCAGTCGCGCCCCGTAGCGTGTCCGCGGCCCCTCCGCCCCCGCCTTGCGTCGTCGCGCCGCGAGCGCACGGCGTACTGCATTGCACCGCCACAGCAAGCTCACGTACCACTGTAAGTATGCCCGGTGTGCACGCCGCGGCACGGCAGGTACGAGACTCGGGCGTGTATGATGCATGACTGTAGGTAGTCGTGCGCTGATGCACACGGACGCTGAAAATGGGGTTGCACCCCGCCTGTTTGGAATGAGAGATGTATTGCATCTACAGCGCATATGGGTGTCGACATGGGTGTGTGCGGAAGCGAGGCCGAGAACAGGAAGCAGGAGGAGCATATATGTACATCGCGTCAATTATACCTCGTCCTACAAGTAGAGACTCAAGAGCGGAGGGAGAAGGGCGAGCGCGAAAATGTGGAACACAACACGATCGCTGGATGCGGCGGAAGAACGGCGGGAGGGGTAGCTCGAAGGAGGATCGAATAATGGAGACCAGGAAGGGAGAGAAAATAAAGATGCGATACAAACGAAAGCTTGTGAACAGACCAGGACCGGAGGATATGACAATGCGTGCAAGAAGAAGGATGCAGGGACAGGACCCAGCGGAAGACACAACGAGTCGGGGCTGAAGGCAAGATGAAGAGAATCGTCCAGGACTGTCCGGTGCCCACCACCCAACACACCCTCCACCCAAGTGATCTCGGAGAACAACGCCAGAGATGATCCGACGTTCTAGAGCGAAAGACGCTCAGACGCCACTAGTGGCCGGAGCCCGTAGCAAACGCTTCCCGGACGCTCTTCCGGAGCTCCTCGTGGTCCCGCCCGCTAACGCTCTCGTCGCGCTGGCTGAACGAGCTGGCCTGTAGCTGCGACGCGAGTGCGCTCGGCGTCATGACACCCTCGCTATCGGTGAAGTCGAGGATGCGGCGCGCAAGCATCTGGATCTCGCCTTGCCCGTCACCCGTCTCCGTGTCCTGGTACGACCTGCTCTGCGAATGGTGCGAGTGAGGCGTGCCGCCCAGGGATGACGTCGGTGTCGACGTCCGCGTCTCGGCGAGGGTGCGGATGTTCGGAATGAGAAGGTTCGAGTTGCGGACGTTGCTGATCAACTGGGGATCTGCAGAGGACGTCAGCACCGTGACCCTGCATCCCGGGTTCGGGGACCTTACCTCCGGACTCAAGCAGTTGCACAATGGTCCAAACGGCTATGTGCTGGAACGTGGCGTCCGTGCTCGTAAGGAAGCGGTGCAAGTACCTGTGCATACCCCCATCGGGCTTATCCCACACGTCGTTGAAGGCCGAATAGTCGTCAGAAGTCGTTCGCCCGTCTATTGGAAGATCAGCGGTGCGAACATGCCTGCTGCGGAAATGCCTACGCACCCTTGGATGACAAGTTGCCCAATGCAGCAGCACTGTTGCCTTGCACCTCGGAACTTAAGGAGTTCGTAAGGGGGATCAGAACCTCGCAGATGCCCATCTCCAACAATTGACCCTTCAGATCGTCTAACACAACGTCAGTACTGACTATTGATTTGCACTGAAAAGCTAAAATCGTACCGCTGAGTGCCAAAACCGCGATGCACGCCGTCATCTCGCTCTGAACGTTCATCGGAACCTCCAGCACAAGCTCCTTGATACTTTCCACTGCACCAGCCTTCACGATAGCCTGCTTGTTCTTCTCGGAGCTTGCCGCGAGGTTACGCAGAGTCGAGATCGCATGGCACTGCACCTCCTCGTTCTCTTTGAAGGACAAGAGGTTGATGAGAGGTTGCAAGAAGCCAGACTCGATGATAGGCGACTCGTTCTGCGGGTGAATCGACACGTTCCGTACGCAGGCAGCAGCAGAGAGAATCAATGGCAAGTAGGTAGACTGCAGGAGGCGGAGCAGCGAGGTAAGTCCATCGGCCTTCACAATCTCGAGCTGATATTTTTCTGCGAACATTCGAGATGAGTTTGTTGAATCTGACGTAATTATTAAACATACCATCGCTCGCGAGATTGCGAAGGGCTAGCGCGGCTTGACATTGGACCTTCAAGCTGGGGCTGTCCATCAGTTGGACAAGGCTCGAGACAAGCTTGGGCTCCGTCTGCGCCAGTTTCTTGCGGTTGTGCGCTAGATATCGACTTTGGTCAGACAAAGTGCGCAGGTATCCTATCAAGTCTCCTCACCATCAACTGCGATGTTACTCAAGGCAGTTGTGCAGTAGTATTGCACATCCGTATCTGGTGAGTTAAGCAAGCTAACCAGCACGGGAATCGCGCCGGCGTTAACGAGCTGCTGCCTGTTCTCGTCTGAAATGATTCATTAATATGAGTCTCAGCCGAACACGTCGTGTGCGTACCGGAATGGGTCATGTTCAGAAGCGCGCCCGTCGCGTTGCGCTGTACCCGCATGTCCTTGGAACGTGCCAGACGAGTGAGAGGAACGAGGGCACCGGACTTTGCGATCTTCGTCTTGTTGTCGTCTAGCGGTCCCGGGAGGTGTGAATGATGGTGGGCATGATGAACGATGTTCCACTCACCATGTGTTGCCAGGTTCGTGACACACCCAACCGCGTTGCACTGCACTTCAACGTTTGGGCTCAGCATCTGCCTGATGAGAGGTTCCAGGCCCCCAAGCTTAACGATGAGCAGCTTGTTCTCAGCTATACCTGCGTGTCAGTAATAGCGAACACGGACGCCGAAATGCTACGCACTATTTACAGCGAGGTTCCCCAGAGCCGCACTGGCAGCCCGCTGCACTTCGGTGTCATGGCTACTGAGGAGGAAGAGGATGGGGTCGAGCGTGTCGCGGCCTACGGGGCGGACCTCCTTCTCAGTGATTTCGGCGAATGCGAGTGCGGCGCTCCGTTGAAGGTCGACATTGTCGGAAAAGGAGAGTGTGGTCAACGCCGCAAGCGGAGAGTCTCTGAAGAAGTCGGTCGTAGTCCGGTCTGCGGTAACGAGGAAGAGCAAAGTAAACGCGACGTTCAAAATCGAGGACATACGTCCAGACTCGCAAGCACATGGATGTAATTGGACGTACTCTCAAGGTATTGCAACAGATCTGCTACCGCCTCCCGCTCGTTCTCCAGAAGTAGCGGCTCGTAGGTCGACTTCCCCGGACGGACTATACGCAGAATGTTAGACCATGCACAACCAATCACAGCGCAAGAGGTGGTGGCGAGAAAAGCGACGCACAGCAAGACTCGCAACAGCTCGAGACGACACCCATGTTAAGAATCCGCGATAGCGAGTATGAGCGGCGGGAAGGCGGGAGAGGGGAGGAGGGGAGCGATGCAGAGAAATGAGAACACAAGCCTGGAGCGCGAAGGCCAACTGTCCCGGCAAGCGCCGGCAGCGCCGGTCATTTGTTTGCCCGTGTTGTGCCTCAGCCATACACGGCAATTCGTGGATCCAGCTCCGCAGCATGCTCGCGCGTGCTGCACTGACTCACTGACGGTGAACTTGGTAGCCAACGTCCGAGCCAACATTGCGCAGGTCGCGCCCATCGTCCGCAATTTCGAGCTGCCGGATGGGCTGAAAATGTCGCAGCGGTCACCGACCCCGCTGTGCGCGCCCGCGCAGGCAGAACGAACGAGTCGCAGGCAAACAGGCTGTCAAGAACGGTTACTGCATTGACTGCGGCGTCCATGGGCGATGCAAGGGTCCATGGCGATGAGCTGCTGCGCACGCTTCTAGCACTACGTACTATCGAACACCGTGGGCAAGATTGCCAAGCATATAATGCGCGAGTTTCCGCGAGAGAGAGGCACAAGACACCCCCACCCGGCCCCAAACGCATGGCTATCGCAGGAGGCAGTTCTCTGGCACCTCGCGTCGAAACGATCGTCATTCCCCCGCGGGCGGAACACACAGCGACTGTGTTCTTTATTCACGTGAGCATTTACATTTTCCCTATCGCTTCATTGCTGACTACAATTACCTAGGGCCTCGGCCAGGAAGCCGATTCCTGGGTTCCTACCTTGCAGAGGGTCGTAGACCTACTGCCAGAGGTGAAGTGGGTCTTACCCCAAGCGTATGTCTTTCATATTTCACGTAGTAAATTTGTCTGACTTATTTTGGCAGGCGTACCGCACCCGTTACATATAATCAGGGTCAGAGGCGACCGAGCTGGTTCGACATCGCGAACCTCCCTCCGTGCAATTGCTATGATGAACCTGGCGCCACGGCGTCGGTAGCCACTATTGAAAACCTCGTAACGGCCGAAGTGCGCTCCGGCACTCCTCCTACGCGTATCGTCCTCATCGGTTTCAGTCAGGGCGGGGCTCTGGCCATGATGACCGCCCTCACGACGCTCCAAGAGTTGGGAGGCGTAGCGAGCCTGTCGGGATGGATTCCTCAGCAATCTAGGCAGGTGAGTTGACTCCACGATGTTATTATTCTTGCAACTCAGGAACGTCTTTTAGGCAATGCTCCAGCTGGAACCCTGTCTCCCGGTGTTTTGGGCACACGGCATTCCGGATACCGAAGTCCCGATCTCCTATGGTGCAGAGAGTGTGGAATTTCTACGCGAATCGTTACACATCTCGGACGACAAGCTAGTGTTCAAGAAGTACGAACAGTTGGAACATACTGTGAACGACGGAGAGTTGGACGACCTCGCTGTGTGGTTGACGCAACTTCTAGGTTGATTGCTATGGTTTCCAAGTGAATATGTTTTCCGTGCTCTATGTGCTTCCCAAAACGTTGTAAACTCCGTATGCCCCCCATAATTACTACGAAGCTACTCGACATTAGTCGCTGTATTTGATCGACGAATTAGCCGATTGCACCGCCACGCGGATGAAGTCACTCTTTCACGCGAACGCACGCGCTCGTCCGCTCGTACTTGCTCCTACTTGCTCTCGTCACTTCGTGTGGATCATCTGGAACGACTCTTGGGACACTGTACGCGCACCGTATCCGAGCACACTCTGCAACAGCTGTTGCATGAGCTGGATTCGAGTCACCAGCTCGATCTTGCGTCCAGTTACCTGCCGCAGTCATAAACACGCCTTTCCAATCCGGACCTTCTACTGGGCACGCGTGCAATTGCCCCAGATGCTGGAGATCAAGCTTACAGACGAGGAGAATGAGTTGTGCACGCTTCTTGACCAATGCACGCGTCATATGAAGGAGACCGAGGGTATAGAGACCTCATGCAGGATCGCTGGAGGATGGGTTCGGGACAAGGTACGCTCGACTAACCGGTGATTTAGACTTGAGCATTCTGAATGATTCGCCCCCCAGCTGGTTGGATCACAATGTAATGATATCGATATCGCGCTCGAGAACATGATGGGTGTCCCGTTCGCCGAACGCTTCGTGGAATATTGTCGTACGGTGAAGGATCTGGCAGTAAAGAGTGTCGCGAAGATAGAGAGTAATCCCGACCAATCCAAACATCTAGAGACCGCGCGTACGACAATCATGGGCATCGAGCTCGACTTCGTCAACTTGCGAAGCGAAGAGTATGCGGAGAACAGCCGCATTCCCACTCAAGTGGTTAGTCATCCGGGGCTCGTCCATTAGCAACTCCAGCCGTGTCTAATAGCATAGCAGACTTTTGGCACACCTCTCCAAGACGCTATCAGACGCGACATTACGATCAATTCGTTGTTCTATAATGTTCATTCAAGAGAGGTCGAAGACCACACCGGCAAGGTAGACCCATTTAACTGTGTCTATACGGGATGGTGTTTATAATGTAAAAGTAGGGCCTCGACGATCTCCGCAATGGCATCGTCCGGACACCGCTTCCACCACGAGAAACGTTCGCCGACGACCCCTTGCGTGTCCTGCGATGCATCCGGTTCGCTAGTCGTTTCGGCTTTACCATGGTGCCGGAACTGCAAGAAGCAGCAAAGGATCCTACGATCCAAGTTCGTCTACGTTATCATAAATTTGGCCCACTGGTCCTGATCCTGCAGTTTAGGAAGCTCTCAGGATGAAAATCAGCCGGGAACGCGTTGGTGAAGAGCTCGACAAAATGATGGGAGGTATGTTGACCAGCAGGCACAGCTTTGAGAAGCGACCGCTGAACCCAGTCCCTCAGGACGCAACCCCTTACTGGCGATCGACCTCATCAACCACCTTTCCCTCTACTCCTCTGTGTTCAGCGTACCCGAAGCCACAGGCATAAACCTCTCGGAATCTTCCTTGCTCCCCTCTGATGCGCTGAATGCAGCAGCCCTCATGCATGCGCTGTCCGATCCTGGGAAGAGCGATGATACCCTGTCCGGCGTACCCGTCCCTCCTCTGCCTGCTGTGCACCCCCTCCTCTTGTCAGAACTGTCAACGAAGAATAACCCCTCCCGTCGCCTGTACCTCGCGGCCGCGCTCACGCCGTATCGCGACCTCACCTACACCCAGAAGAACAAGACGCACCCCGCTACCGAAGCCGTACTCCGCGAGGGTCTGAAGCTCGGCGTACAGTACAACTACTCTAACGGCATCCCTGCTCTGTTTGCGGCTGCAGATGTTCTGCAGAAAGGCGTCGCCGAGTTCGAGGCCGGCAACATGGACAAACCCGAGCGGGTATGGATAGGTGCGAGGCAGCGGTCTTATCTTTTGCAGAACCCGCTGACTTGCTGGTCCGCACAGGGTTGCTGCTGCGGGAGAGAAACGTCCACAATCCAATATCGGGCTCGTTCTGGGCAACATCCCTCCTGTTTTCTTTGGTCCAGGAATTGACTGCTCTGTGGGCAGAGGGGATCGATCCGCTTGACGGTGAGTACGCTGGATAAATGTATCATTCAGGTTACTGAACCGTCCCACAGAAGTTGCACCTGCACGCATAGCAGCATACAACAAGTTTACTGCGCGGATCGAAGAGCTCGACTTGCCTCCAGCTGTTGACGCTAAATCGATCCTTAACGTATGCATGCTGGTTCTATTGACGCAATGCCCACGCTGACATTCCCCTAGGGTCGGGAAGCCGTGGATGTCCTGGGAGCAGCCAGCCCAGGGCCATGGACGGGTGAGGTCCTCGCCCGCATCATCGAATGGCAGCTCGAGCACCCACACGGCACGAAGGGCGAGTGCGAGACGTGGCTCCGTGCCGAACAGGCCGCGGGTCATATCAACATAGTGGTTGGCAAGCGCGTCATGGACGGCGCGGTGGATGCTAAGGCGAAGAAGGCTAAGCGGTAGTGAGCAGCAGCTTTGTGGCGCAATCGTTGTTTGGCTATGAGCTGTAGATGATAATGTGATGTATTGACTACGCCTGCGCGGTGTACAATGTATGTGGGTAGCCTAAAGGCGCGTAAATAGGCATACTAGTCGGTACCGCGGGCGACGTTGTCGCTGGTGGTACAAGGTGATGGTACAGGATATGCATGACGAGCGAGGGTAGGGGTGGGAGGAAGAGAGACGTATGCGGGAGGTCGAGAGCGAAGGCGACGATGACGTGGATGCGGGGACGGCGACGGCGACAGAGCTAGGGGAGATGCGGGGGAGGATACGAGGGTAGGGGCCGAGTGGAGTTGTGATACGTAACAAATATGATCTAAAGACAAAGATGAAGGTGATATGAAGGGGATACTGGCGTTACAAAGGAAGCGTCCCAGCGTGCCGTCACTCGTAATGCACCCACTCGTTGAGGTCCTCCGCCGAGATGCCGCCGGGGATGCACTCTGGGGCATAGTACTGGTTCTCGGCGGAGAGGGGAGCGAAAAAGGCCTTGTCATACGACGGGGGACCCGAGGACATGGGGTCGGACATGTTGCCGAAAAGGCCAGCGAACTCGGGAGACGACGGGAATGGGTCGAGCGGAGAGGGAGTATCGTCTACCGCTGGTGCAAGGAAGTCGTCGGAGAGGGTGCTGGACTCGGGGCTAAGGGAGGTGCTGAGGATTGGGTGAGGGGGGTATGCTTCGTGGGCGAATGGGTTGGTGAATATGATATCCTCCTAGTGGAAGACGGCGTGGTTAGCGTTGTCGAAGGGCGATCATGGTGGCAGACGTACCTCGTCGTCCGAGCAGGGCATGCCAAGATCCAGCGTAGGTATCTCCGACGTGGGGATATACGCCTCCTCCTTCTCCTCCTTCATGAAGGTGGGTGTGTGGTTGTGTTCCTCAGGGACGTAGTCATCGTCATCCTTGATTCTGACGCGCCGCTCTCGGCGAGGACGAGCGCGAGAAGAAGAGGCCTGCGCCCGCGGACGGGCAGCCGCCTTGCGCGGCCGGGCACTGACGTACTCAGAGGAATCTGACAGATCACTCCCCTCCCCCGCCTCGCGCCGGTCGAGCTCCTTCTTGAGGTCGTCGCCTTCGAAGCCGCGCTGGATGAGGCGCGCGACCGTCTCGCAGCGCAGCACTTTCTGGACGTGGTCCTGCTTCGGCTTGCGCTTCGCGGGCTTGTCCTTGCGGTAGATCGGCGAGTACTTGTACTGGGGGTACTTGCGCGCGTGCTCCTTCTTCGCCTCGTCCGCGAGCTGGTGGTACGGCGCGCGCTCTGCGTCGCCGAGGCTGTTCCAGAGGCTGCCCGCGATGCGGCTGATCTGGCGGTGGTCGCGCTCGACAGTGCTCTTGATCTTCTCTTTGTTCCAGAGGTCGGAGCGGAAGATCATGAACGCGTTCGGGGGGCGCGGGATGTGTCCCGGCTTCTTCTTGCGCGAGTGCGAGGAGCGTTCGCCAGCGACGGTGTTAACAGCCGCGGGAGAAGGCGAGCGGGACTCGGGATCGACCTCCGGCTCGCCCAGCTCGTCCGCGGGAGGAAGTCCGGCGTCGGCATTGGTGGCGGGAGAGGGAGGGTACATCAACTCGAGGTCGAATTGATCGTACTCATCGCTACCTACACCAGATCGGGGAGCGTCAGTATGTGCTGGATCGGAGGCACGCCACAGGAATAAGTGAGACGGGGGATGATGACATACCTGGATCGCGGGGAGGCTGCCGCGAGAGGCGGCGGGATCGCCTAACGTTGCGAAAAGCGGGCATGAGGGCGTAGCAGAAGTTTCAAAGAGGAAGGGTAGTGCGAGGACGGTTGCCGGAGAGCAGGATGCGACCATAGGGAGTACATGGCCTGCTCCCCGCGCTTCCTTTAGTACACCAGAGGATGAGTAGGTTGTGCCACTCGACAGATGGGCAAACAGGATTGCTACAGGGGAACACCTCTGTATAATCACCGCATGTCTGCCTCGCGGCCGGAGTGTACTCGCATCCCTTACCGACATTAAAATCCAGCCAACCAGCGTTTTAGCTTTCTTGACGCGTGACGATTACCTTGTAAGGCTCGCGGAAGCAAATGTCCCGTGGCGCAAACCGGGCGTCGGCAGCGTTGCGCACAACGACCGACGCAGCCGTCGGTACAACAACTTTGCTGGCGGTGTTGTTCGCGACGCTTTATACCTCCGCTGGCTACCAATCAATGCCCGGAGGACGTCTGGGCGCACACAAGAGACGTTCGCGGCAGCACGTTGTCGACGTTGTTCCCACTGTGTTCGCGCCGGCGTGGGGCACGTTCTGTCGAATAGGGTTAGGTTGTCACCGCTGGATTTGTATCAACCCTCCCCTCGGCGCAACATTGTCCTCTTTGCGTGGAGTCTGCGCTGCACGGTGTACCTATCCTGGGGTGATCTTCCCATGGACCTCCTGGTTTTGGAAGGGATTCTTCAGCGACCACACCCGATGGATGCTGCGGCAGACACTGTGCCACCCATTCAATCAGGCTGGCGTCCAGGCCGCCACATATTAAAAAGGCCCGATGCGGTTCCTTAGACGGACAGAAGGAGACAGAAGTCGCCGATGCCCGGTTGATGCACATGCCCCGTCACCGTGGGAGCCGCATTGATCACACGAACGCAGGCGTGGTGTGCCACTCGGGATCCTAAGAAAACACCGTCGTCCTATCGACACGGCAGGCAAGCGCGAGTACAAAAGGGGGGGACTCGGCGCGAAGGCCATACGTTGACACACGCACCGCAGACATCAGGGCTCACTGGTGGAATTTTCATCTAAGAGCTGTCACCCGCGACGTTGTCGGCGGAAGACGGGGCGGGAGCCGCGGCAGCCTTCACCTTCCTTTGTTGGTCCTTCTCACTCCGCCTTTTGGACCCTGCAATCATGTCCCTGCATATGGGGTCAGCACATTGATCTTTGCGCGATAGACGGCACGGAACCACTCGCCTCTTCTTGATAGCGTCCTTCCGCCCGATGTGTCTTGCATTGTTGACCGTCTCCGCGCGCTTGACCTTGCCCATCTGCTTTCGCTTCATCTTCGACGGCTTCGGCAGCTTGAGGATCCACTCCGGCACAGGCGATCCCGATTGAAGCAACACGTTCGCGATCCTGGATACACACGTTAGGTGGCCTAAACTGGGCGCAAACAGATCCAGCTTACGTTTTGAGCCACGGGCCGTCCTGATCTGTGAAGTAGGTGATCGCCTTTCCTTCTCTCCCAGCGCGTCCGGTGCGACCTGCCACAACATCAACAAACGTGCCAAACAACAAGCCATTAAGGCAAGCGACTGACCGATTCGGTGGACATAGCTCTGGACGGTCTGTGGGAAGTCGTAGTTGATGACTTCCCGTACACCCTTGAAATCCATGCCGCGAGCCATGACCTCGGTGCTGACCATCACCCAGCTCTCACCGCGGCGCATGCGCGACACGGCGTCCTCTCGCTCCTTTTTGGACAACCCGGCGTGCAAGCAGTCGACGTTAGGTATACCGCTAATAATGAGCTCTTCCGCTAACGACGCCGCGCGAGGTTGCGAAGAGACGAATATGAGCACCGGTGGGTTGTATGGTTGTGATAGGTACTGGAGGAGGGTAGGCAACTTGGACTGATCGTCGGCGACATAGGTGAGGGACTGCGCAATCAGAGGTAATGGCGTGTCTCTTCAGTGGAACGTGAGTATTCCGCACGGTGTAATTGACACTGAAGCACATACTTGAGACCGACGACGACACGAATGGGATCTCGGAGCATCGACAGAGCAACCTTCTCTGCGTTGGCAGGTAGTGTGGCGCTGAAGACCGCCTTCTGTACGTCGGGGTATGTACATGCGGCGATAACCTCCTCGACTTGCTCCAGGAATTCTGTATCGAGCATGCGGTCGGCCTCGTCTAGCACTATATGTCGGACACTGCGACTCTGTCAGTAAGGGCGTAGAGATTGAACCTCCGGTACGTACTTGCCGAGCTCCAGATGACCTGCTTTTAACGACGCTACAAGTCGCAAAGGCGTGCTAATGACCAAGTCTGCAATGCGGTGTGAGGACTAGCGGGAGGCATTCTGCAGCCGCGTTACTCACCAATTTTGTCTCGAACTGTCTTGTCCTTCATCGTAGCCGCAGTGGCTTTGCTGAATAGTACAATCCGCCATTTTCTGCCCTGCGCGAGCTTCAGACATTCGTTGTGTATTTGGTGCGCTAGTTCACGGGTCGGCGCGAGGATGATAGCACGAACACCGGAGCCGGCGTCCGACTTCGCACTCGCGGCGGGAGCTCCGAGAGCAGCCATGACCGGAAGGAGGTAAGAGAGCGTCTTTCCGGTACCCGTAGGCGATATGGCAGCAAGATCTCTATGCTGCGGTGCTATAAGCACGCCGAGCGCGGGACTGAGGAGAAGGACGTACCTCCATAAGTATGGGCACTCCATATGACTGTATACCCGTTGGCCTCTTGTACCCGGACTCCGCTAGATTCGCAAACAGGTGGGGCGGGATGTTGTACCGGTCTCGCAGGACCTCGAATGTGTCCGCATGCTCGGGTACGTTGTTTCCCTTCGTGGTAACGCGGTGTCGGGGCATGGGCGGTTCGTCGTCCATAGGGACATCCTCTTCGTCCGTGTCCTCGTCCTCATCCTGCACCTTCCGCTTCTTGCCCTTGACGTCGGCTTCAGCGTCCGCGGATGGTGCCTTCCGCTTTGGCGCGCCTCCCTCCGCGTACTTGAAGAAGTTTAGCTCCGGCGGGAGCTCGCCGGATGCGCTCGCAGAAGTGGAGGCTTTGGGCTCCTGCGCTTTGTCACCCTGGGAGAGGTTGGTTTGGAATAGAATGCATAGTGCTATAGGGCTCACATTGAACAACCGCACATCACCCTTGAACTTCGTCTTGTTGAATTTTACTCCTCCTCGAGAGAGTAGATGGAATGCCTCCATGAAATCGAAGTAGCCGGTGTGCTCGTGGCAGGAACACAGTCAAATTCAGAATTAGAGCACTGAGAGCCAGTCCTGATTCTTCCAGGCCGATATCAGAGAAACCAAGAGCCGGAGGTGCGGAAAAAGCAGGTCAAGGTGTGCAGCCAGGGAGTTTGGGCGCTTCACGCGATTGAGGCGAGCTCAGAAAACGCGATCGAGATTTACTCGATCGGAATATATGCCGGGCGCCTATGCACATGGTCCTCCCGTTGGTATCCAGCAGACGGGAACCGGGGCGTAACATCCGTGTAGAGCTAATGTCATTGAACGCAAAGTAAAAGACAAGCATCTAGTGAATAGTATAAGGAAGTACGTGGAAAGCTCTAGTCTACCATGCTGTACGACCCATCTAATCAAGATACGAACCACGAACAAACTAGTCTATGAAGCCAATAATGATAGACAGACGAGAATGTCAGCCAGAGTCCGTAAGGTAAGTTGCAGGGAACAACGTTCTCCATCCTTTCTTCAATTGCTGCACGGCAAGAATGAGTCGACTGATAAGACAAATCCAGCACGAATCCGGCAGACAGCACGTACCTCGAAGAAGACGAACATCAGCACGGTGTTAGGGCCTAGTCGTATGAATGCAGGGGTCCACCCCTTGAAGAGGAAGCGCGGTCCCTCTTCCCGCAGGGCTGTAGTCAGTACTTGGAGGGGATGTGATACACCGTGCTGCGGGAAACGGCTCAGTACGGGCCCACGTTGCACGCGGACCTCATACTCACCGCAGACATGAGGCGCGACCTGAGTACGTCTGCCGGGGCGCATACAGCTACAAGTTGTGTGAGCTTATGTCAATATCTTTTGACGAAGGACATAGTTGGACTCACTGGTGGCAACAGTACCGGCGAGAACACTCGAAATTGCATGGAGAAGTAGACCGTCTTGCAGCTGGTAGTCGATTACGGGTATTGGATTCCGCAGCATCATCGTCTTGAAGAGGTCATACCTAAGCATGAGGTACCGTCAGCAATCTCTTCGCGCCTTCAATGTAGCCAACGGACTGAACGTCGCGACTTACGAGCCAACCTGTGAACCCTGAGAAGCAACAGTGAGAGCCGTGAGGGTGGCGCGATTGCTACGTCGTAAAACTCACGTTCATGAGAACGGCTCGTGTCTACGGAGATGAACGGGTTACACAGTGGAACCGCACGGAGAACGACGGGTGCGTACCATATTGGTCCCCAGTCCTCTGAACATGCCGTGTGCGCCCTCCTCGCGGACAAGGGTAACCATGCCGCTGACTGCGTTGCTGTAGTTGTACCTCTCCGCGGGTGGCCGGACGAAGTCGCTAGTCATCCTGACGAGTAGGATGTCTGTGCGAGTGACAAGCGTTCACGATGGAGTGATACTTCACGAATGAAAGTGTGCTTACCGGCAGGGTTTCCTGCTAGACCTCCTAGCGCACCGGCAAGCATTGCGGCTAAGAGGAGATGACTGCCTGGTGCAGGCCCGTCCTTGGACAGGCTTGCCTTCATCTTCTCGTAGGCACCGAGCCGTACCAGGGAATAGGTCATTTGCCTCAAAACAGAGGCGGAGAGTCCCGTATACAAGCTCCTGAACCCGCTCTCGCGGACAGTCATTCGAAGGATGGAAAGCGTGGAAGGATGGACGGGACCGGAAGCTGGATGGATAGTTTGCATCCGACTGTACGGGCGTGTAAAGAGCAAATTCCAGTGGCAGAACACATGCACCTACACTTTCGCGAGGTCCAAAGGATGTGTACAGCAGGCAGCCACTAGGAGGACGTGAATTAAGGCTTGGACTACAATTGTGCGTGTGGCAAGTTTACTCACTGGTGGCTCCGACGCCTGACCATTCCAACCCGCCCAGTTAGCGTAGCTAGAGCACAAACGTCTCGAGGGCTTACCTCCAAGCCTACCGTACAGCCGATCAGCCACGGAGTCACTGACAGAGGTTTTTTACTCACCAGAAGGGATAGCTGGTCTGTCTCTTGCCCATGTTGACCTCGTCGGAGAGGGTAGCAAGAACTGGCGAGTTCGTGGTGTTGGAAGTAGACCTGCACAAACCCTCAGACCGCGGCTGCCCTGCAGTGCGTGGTTTCCATGAAAGAGTGGCTGCAAACTCTGAGGCAGAGTTATGAGACGGCGCTGATCGCGATTGGGCATTTTAATTCGTCATCCGGTTCGGCACGCGACGGACGGCGCCCCGCGACGAGTCTGGATCGTCGGTGAGTTCGGCCGCGGTATACAGCATCGCCGGAACGACGTGAAGAACGGGGAGCGCAGGATGCTCGTGAATAGCATTGGAGTGAGTGGTAGCTGCAAGGCGCACCTCCCGCGGCCAGACTCCCGAGCTCAATTGCCAATGGCTGCATCGTTGACGCAAGGCCAGTTCTCGTGACGATCTGGGCCGTGACCGGGGTCCGTGCACGCAAAGTCGCACGGACAGCGTTGGCTCGGTTCGACCCGAGCGTGCCCAAATTGGCGCCGCGCGTCGTGTCGCGCGTCGCCTTTTTCTCCCTCCCACCGCCACCTCCCCCTCGACCACCCCCGCTTGCTTCCTTTCTTCCCCTCCTAGCTTCCCCCTACTCTCTTTTCTTTGCCGACCATGAGCTCCCACGACAACGAGGAACTTATCGACTACGAGGACGAGCATGACGTGGTCACCAACGGCGCGGCAGCGACCACTGCCACCAACGGTGCTGTCACCTCAACAGCGCCCGCGGCCGACGGTGAGGGCGAGAAGGACAAAAAGAACTTCTCAGGGATCCACTCGACAGGCTTCAGGTGCGTTCGGTTGCATATATGCTCGATATTGAGCGCGTCTTGACCCGCGTCTTTGTCTTTGTTCTTAGGGATTTCCTGTTGAAGCCCGAGCTGTTGCGAGCAATCAGTGATTTGGGTTTCGAGCATCCCTCTGAAGGTTGGTAGCTCTCGCTTGTAGTCGATTTGTCTGCTCGGAAGCTAATCGGCTGTGCCACTCAGTCCAACAGGAGTGTATTCCTCAAGCCGTCCTGGGAATGGACGTGCTGTGCCAGGCGAAATCCGGGCACGGAAAGACGGCTGTCTTTGTTCTGGCAACTCTCCAGCAGCTCGAACCGGTCAACGGCGAAGTATCGGTCATCGTACTTTGCCACACCCGCGAGCTTGCGTTCCAGATCAAGAACGAGTACGCTCGCTTCGCGAAGTACATGCCCGACGTCCGTGTCGGCACTTTCTACGGCGGAACTCCCGTGGCCAAGGATGCCGAACTCCTCCGCGACAAGACCAAGTGCCCGCACATCGTGGTGGCGACCCCCGGCCGACTGAACGCTCTCGTGAGGGACAAGGTCCTCGACGCCTCGAAAGTCAAGCACTTCATCCTGGACGAGTGCGACAAAATGCTCGAACAGCTTGGTTAGTTTCATGCGAATTTCGGCCTCCCATCCTACATCCCTGCTTCGTGCATCGTTTGTGCTCCACGCGGCATCGGCCTTTTCGGGTGTCAAGCTGCTATTCGGCTGTTAGTCTTGCGGCGCTCGCGCGCTTAGCGACCTCCTGCGACATTGGGCCTTGGTTCGACGGACGGTGTGGTTGTGGAGGGTGAAGGTGTCGATCGAAGGGAAGCACGGGAGCGCGGACGAAGCACCAACGAACTCGACGGTCAAGGCAGCAGACGTCTTCGTTGACGTCGCAAGCCAGGTCGCAACACAAGTTCCGAGGGTCAGATGCCTCATGAAGCTGCCGACTCCGTTAATGCCCATTCCCCGTTGCTTCTTCGTTCTTTTTGCTCCATATTGCATTCGACAGCCATCTTACCATCTCCGCCACCGTCCCACCAGACATGAGACGCGATGTCCAAGAGATCTTCCGGGCGACGCCGCACCACAAGCAGGTCATGATGTTCAGCGCCACCCTCGCCAAGGACATCCGGATTACATGCAAGAAATTCATGGCCAACGTAGGTTCCACTGCTTCCGAAGTTGTACCAGTCTCTGACAGCCCCTGCAGCCGCTCGAGATCTTCGTCGACGATGAGACGAAGCTCACGCTGCATGGTCTCCAGCAGCACTACGTGAAGCTCGAGGAGGTCGGCAAAAACCGGAAGCTGAACGAGCTCCTCGACACGCTCGAGTTCAACCAGGTTTGCTCCCGGTTGCATGTGCTTTTCATAGGATTGTTTTGACCCCTTCTATAGGTCGTCATCTTCGTGAAGTCTGTGGCGCGTGCGATTGAGCTTGACAAGCTCTTGGTGTCATGCAACTTCCCTAGCATTGCTATCCACTCCGGGCTCGCACAGGAGGAGCGGTGCGTCATCCTTCTGCACTTGATGATCATCTCCGACTGACATGCGCCGGTAGCATTGCGCGATACACCGCCTTCAAGGCCTTCGAGAAGCGTATCCTTGTGGCGACCGACATCTTCGGTCGTGGTATCGATGTGGAGCGTGTCAACATCGTCATCAACTACGACTCGCCGCCAGATGCCGACAGCTACCTGCACCGCGTTGGGTGAGTTTATTCGCGTCGTCGTTCATGTGTACACGTACTAAAGTGAATACGATAGTCGTGCCGGTCGTTTCGGGACGAAGGGTCTTGCTATCACGTTCGTCTCATCGGAGAGCGACCAGCAGGTGATGGCGGCCATCCAGTCCCGCTTCGAGGTCGCGGTTCCTGAACTCCCCGACCACATTGATCCCGCGAGCTACAGTACGTGTTCAAGTGCCTTCTTTGCCTGTCTTGACGCTGAAGCCGTGTTCAGTGACGTCCTAATTACCGAGCACCATGAACGTGCTCGCTCTCTAAGTCTCTCGCGCTGTCCCGCTTTCTGTGTCGTAGCTTACCTTGCGCCCCTTGTAACCGTACTGTTTGACTCTATACACCACGCTCCCCTCCAATGGATGTTATTGGCTTGTAATGAGCTGCGTGCGAAAACTACGCCAAGTCCTATTGTCACTTTCGACTCGAATTCCTCGACTGCGTCGCAATAGGTGCGAGACACGTTCGCGAGAACCCAACTCGTGCTATGGCTGTACATGTATGGTACTGCAAGATACAGTGCTGCTATAGCCTACAAAACATATTCGAATAACCCAGAGGTGCGTGCGTAAATGTATGTTGTACTGGATCTGATAGATGCCCGAGCGTGAGTACGGTGGGTGTGCCTGAAAAATTGGCCGGAATTCGATGCGCGCATGGCGAAGTATAGATATTCCGGGTAAGACACCGTGCGGAAATGACGTCGGCGTCGCTGAGGTGATCAGCTCGCGGGTCCAGACTGGCGAAAGCTGATGGGTTTGAGCAGCGAATCCGGTCCCAGTCCGCCACCAGGACAGACTGCACATGCAGGCACTTTCCCCGCGCGCCCAGCAAGGCAACCTGATCACACCCTCTATTCTCCCTGTCCGACCGCTCTCTCTCGCTTTTCTCTTCTCCCGCCTGCTCGTCTCCCGCGCCCCCTCGAGTTCTCTGACCGTGCGTCCCGCAAGGCTCGCAGAGCCCGCAGAGCCCAATGCGCCGCAAATATGCGCAACTCGCCCTCCCGACGCTCTACTTCAGGGACGGCATCCTCTCCGTTCCTGGCTACACCTTTGAGAAGGTCAGCACCGCCGTACTTCTCCGCGTACCTCGAGCGGAATTGTTGATCTTGCGTCGTATGTCCGTTTACTCCGTGCATGCTAACCAGGCCGTGCCATGGGAGGATACTGGCAGCATGACTCTCCTCTCGGAAGGGACGAACCTGCAGGACGGAACGAGCGTACTGGCCAAGATCGTCCCCGCGCACTCAAATGCGTCGATGCTGCTTGAGCGGGAGGCCCACATGTGAGTACTACCAGTACATCCGGCAGACTTGCCCGGTCGCGCTGACCGAAGGCGCTATTCTAGACTTGAGAAGATGGCGACCTCGCCGGAGTCGTCAAGCTCGACACTCCGGATGATCGACTTCTTTACGATCCCCAAGACGAATGGAGATTGTGCTGTGCTGCTGCTCTTCCACCCGGGGCTCAACATTCTCGGCCGGTACTTTCCCCCTGCCAAGGTCAACAATCTGCTCTTCGGCGACATCTCACGTGCGCGACCGTCTTCCTCACACCGCGACATCTACATGTCTGGCGTGGAGGAGCCGTACATCATGGAAGAAATGGAGGCCATCGAGATTATGGACCTTGCAACCTTCCTCGAGTTCGCGATACAAGCCACGCACTGCTTGGAAATGATGCATAGGCAGGGTCTTATCCACCGCGAGGTGCGCGCCAACGCCTTTCATCTCAATCACCACAGCGGCCTCGTACGCTTGGTGCACTTCGGCAACCGTGCGGTTTCTCTAGAGCAATTCGGCGTGCCATCCGAGTTCGTGCTTCAGGCGGACGCATTCGAAGAGGTGCAGAAACTGAAGGTCAAAGAGGCGCTGTGCTACTTCGCGCCAGAACAGACAGGCAGTATGGAAAACCTCGCCGAAGACCATCGGACGGACTTGTACTCCCTTGGAATCATGTTCTGGACACTTCTGGTAGGTCGGGGCACAATGCCCTTTGAGGGCGGACCTCTTGAGCTGCTGCACGCCGTCGTGCAAAAGCGCCCGATGCCAGTGCACGAAGTCCGCCGCGACATCCCTCAGGTTCTTGCCATGATTATCGAGAAATTGCTTTCCAAGTCGCCAGACGGGCGATATCAAAGCGCGCATGGGCTCAAGGCAGACCTCCTAGAGTGTCAACGTCGACTACTCGCTGCGGTAGCGCTTTCCTCCGATGAACCAGCGGAGCTCATCCCGCATTTCGACATCGCGACGGAAGACCGGTGTATGGAGTTCACCATTCCGAGCCCTCTCTTTGGCCGCGACAAGGAGCTGGAGACGATTCGCAATATCATCCGGCATACCTCGACGAGCTACTCCCGTCAAATAGGCGCGTCGCGGGGCTCTTTTGTCATGAGCTCAAGTGGCAGCGGCGGCACAAGCACTGTCGGCACGGCGGAAGACCCGAGCGATTCCATGTCAAGCAAGAGCTCGGCGTCCGCACAGATGCTCGTGTCGCCCGAGTCTCCGGGTTCGAAGATATCCTCCATCGACACGGTCACGCAGCAAGGCTCCGTTACAACGGTTACCTCTGGGACGGTCTCTACGAGCGACGGCCTTCGCCGCGTCGCGCTCACCCCGTCGCAAAGTCGCGCCCGAACACATGCTGCCATGGTCGTCGGGCCTCCAGGGTGGGTCCATTTCGGCCTCGTGGACGTGCCGTGAACTAAAGTGTGGGTTCTTAGTGCCGGCAAGAGCTCGCTTATTCTTGCACAGCAAGCGAAGTGGAGATGTGAGCCGTTCCGCAACAAGACTCCGGACTTCCGTTCTGACTTCTTGTGTTCTCACAGCACATGGCCTGTGGGGACAAGCGAAGTTCTCCGAAGTTGAACCCGGGCCGTTCGCGTCGCTCGTGAGTGGCTCGCGTGCCGAATCTGCCGTCGCGACACGAGGACACTGACTTATGCGCGAATACAGCTCGCCTGCCTCTCGCATGTCCTCCGACAACTCATAGTGTTCCACTCGGACCTGCACCGCTTCGTCAATGACCTCAAACAGAGGCTCGGGCCGCAGCTGCAAAACGTGCCGCTGCTATACGAGGGCGCACCGGAGCTGAAGACTATCTTCGCGCTGTTCGACATCGTGATCGACACGCCGCAAGAGTCGCTCGAGACCAGCGAGCTGCCCGCGCGCTTTCAGTCACTCGTGGAGAGCGTGTTTGCGGTCCTTGCGGAGACTAGGTTGTTTGCACTGTTCTTGGACGATCTGCACGAGGCCCCCGATTCGTACGTGCGCATCTTGGAAGCTCTGAGGCTGAATGGCTGACGGATGATCGGCAGGTCGCTCGATCTGCTCAACGCGCTGGTCAATTCCCGCACTCGTCTAGTAAGTTTAATTGTCGCGTTGACTAGATGTGAGAATATGACGTGTGTGCTGACATGTCGCCAGCTCATCTTCGCGACCGTGCGGTCAGACAGACCGTAAGTAAAGTTTGCCCGCGCGCCCAAATTTGCTCTGACCCCATTCGAGTAGCGACCGGCTTGAAAGGATCCGGCAAACCTTCTCCACCAAGTCGACGACATGGATACACCTTGAGCCGCTCAGCTACCCCGCTGTCTCGACCCTCGTCGCGCGGACACTGCACCGGCCGAAGGAGGAGGTCGCACATCTTGCACGCATCATCCACGGAGCCTCAAGCGGGAACCCGTTCTCCGCACGCAACATCCTTACTACGCTTTACAGGCAACGACACGTACGTATGTCATACGTCTATACGAGGGCGCCGAGGCTGACATGGTGTTCGCAGATATTTTACGATTGGGAGAAGAATAACTGGCAGTAAGTGCGGTCGCTTTTCTGGTGCGCTCGCAGCTAAGCGGGGGTCAGGTTTGACATTACGGCGATCGAGACGACGCTGTTCGACAAAAAGTCGATCGCGACGCCGGGCGATCTTGGATTTTTGGTAAATCACCTACGTGAGCTACCAGAGGACGCGCGGAAGTTCGTCATCTGGGCGTCTTTCTTTGGACCTACGTGCGTCGTTCTTCGTTATTCATGATTCGACCTCTCACGTTGCCGCGCCCGAAAAGGTTCAAGGTCGCCGAGGTCGCACTGTTGATGGACTGGGACGACTCCGGAAGCAGCGGCAGCGGTACGGAAGAGGAGCACGAAGACATGTGGAACGTCTCGAAGGCCGTACACAACTTCCGCGAAAAGGAGAACGGGTCGTCGGCCACGCGCCGCTCGATACGCGGGCTGCAGACGGCGATCGCGGAGGGCTGGCTGATCCAGCGCGCGAGAGACATGTGCAGCTTCTCGCATGACCGGTACCGCCAGGCTGCGCAGGCGGAGGCAGAGAGCCAGCCTGAAGAGGCGATTGCTAAGATGTCCTTCCGGGTGAGTACTGGCCAATGGCTTTGTAGTGTAGAGAGCGAACTGAGGATTCTGCAGATTATTTTGACGATGCTCCATGAGTCGACCCCCGACATCTACCGTATAGCGGAACATGCAAAGAGGTAAGGCGTGCATGTCGTGCTTGTCGAGATGGAGCTGAGTATACGTATGTAGGTGTCTGCCGTTGCTTCGCGAGCACTCAAAACGCGACGAGCTGCTCGAAATGTCGATAGATGCCGGTGATTCTGCGAGGGCTCGGGGTGCCCATGAGGTAAGCCGTCCCGCGGAGTTGCAGTGGCGTGTCGCTTAACGCCACCTTGCGCAGCTCGCACTGCAATCGTACATGAATGCTCGGTCATTGCTGGATGAGAACTCATGGAAGGGTGACCCGGTCCGGACGTCGTCGCTCTACATACGGCTAGCGGAGTAAGCACCTCAATTTCCTTCGTTTGTTAAATTATTGAACTGAAACGTTTGAATAGGCTATATACGTGGAAGTCCGAGTTCAACTTGTCGGACAACCTGCTGCAGGAGTGCCTGATCCGGTGCGAGAGCCCTGAAGAGAAGGCACGGCTGCTCCGGCTGCGATCGCGCAACCACTGGATGCGGGGGAACTACTCGGCGGCGTTGAATGACAACATTCTGGGGCTGCATCTGCTCGGGGTGGACGTGAACGCGGCGCCGACGCGTCGAGAGGCGGACATCATGTTCGAGCAGGTCAAGAACGAGATCCTGGCGGTCGGCTTCGAGGACATCCTCTCCATCCCCCGCGCGCGCGACAGCCGCACCGATCTGGCAATTGCGCTGCTCAACGACGCAGGTTGGTGCTCCCACTGCCCGTTCTGGGCCCCACGATCTGATGCCGTCTGACGGCTCCGCACAGGCACGAACGCGTACTGGAGCACTGGTGAAGGCTTCGCTGATGTCATAGGACTCACGGTGCGTCGGGGTCGCATCGCACCGTAAATGCTTGACTGACCGGCCTCCGCAGACGATCCAGCTCGCGTTGCGGTATGTCGTGCTCGATAAGGCAGGCAGCATGGAAGGGTACTGACACGGTGCTCGGGCAGGGCGGGGATGTGTCCGGGAACGGCGCTGGGGTTCTTCTGGGCGCTCGGAGGTGCGTTCGATCTCGCGCCGCGGGTTGCGTCAGCGGAGCTCACCCCATCTCCTCCAGCCGCGGCAGAACGGCGGGAGCTCTACCGATTCTCAGCCGACCTTGGCAAGCTCGCGTTGCGGATCGCAGACCAGTACGGCAGCAGCTTCGAGAAGTGGTACGTCCCTGTCTGGATCCTGCCATCATGCTCCGCACACCCTCCTCCCCCCGTAAAAGCCTAATCTAACCTGGACCCATCTGCGACCCCAAGCCGCGCTCTCGTCCTGTTCTCGATCATGGTCTCCGGTTTCGACAACGTGCACATCCGCGCGAATGTGCCCAGGCTCGAGGAGGCGATCAAGTACGGGCAGAGCGCGGGCGACAGGTACGTGTTGGCACCATGCAGGAAAAACAATCAGTGCTGACGGGGCGGCGCGCAGGATATACACGAGTTTCGCCACGGCCCACCTGGTCGTTACACGGCTCTACATATGCGACCACAGTAAGTGTGTTTTCTACGCGTCGCGGGAATCACCTCGTCTCATCGTTGGGCAGTGAGCGAGCTGGTCATGGCGGCGGAGGAGGCCGTGTCCGACATCTCGCTCTGGGCGCCTAGTGGCGATATTGCGGTTTTGGCGCAGGGTACGCTGAACTGCATCCGCGCTATTGGCGGCTACACAATTGCGCAGTCCGCCGACACGGCGTTCGATACTGAGACGTTCAAGGAGTCCGAGTACCTTGCCCAAGTAGAGGCTTTGGGGACCATCAAGGTCGCTATGAATTGGTACGTGATCTGAAGCTATCATTTGTGTCAGTATGCTGACCCATTAATCAAGGTATAATGCGTTCAAGGTACGTAGTCTGGAGTAGCAACTATCGGGGACCTCGCTTCATCTTCTTTGGCAGGTCGTTGGGCTGTTCAGTCTTGGGTACGTGGAGGAGGCCGCACGTCTTGGATTCTACGTATACGAGACACGCGATAGCAACCCCAAGTGCGTAACTCCCAGGGAGCCGCATATACCCACTTCTGACACGCGTTCAGTCACCGGCACACTCGCTACTCTCTTTTCTTCCACAGTTTGGCGTTGATTCACTGCTTGAGGAAAGGCGGTCTGCCAGTAGAGGAACGCACACGCTACTTCAAGCAGGTCGAGACCAATCAGTCTTACATCCGGAAGTACGTGAACGCAGTGGTATCTGAAATGTTATCGCTGACGTGCGCTCCAGATGGCTATCACCGAGTCCTGTCAACACGAGTACATGGGTCGCCCTCATCGTACGTTGTCTCTCGTTTCGAGATGAACACAGCACTGACAGGCTTCTTAGGATGCGGAGCTGGCATCTTTGATGAACAATCCTGATGCATTCAAACTTTACGATGTCGCCGTGAAGTGAGTTTTTCGGTTAAAATGCATGGTGTAAGAAGCTTAAAGGGCGACAGGCTCGCAGTGAACAACGACTGGTTGCTAGAAGGCGGTTGGGGACTCTATCTGGTAAGCAGCATACATTTGCTTCTGCCGCCGATTCACGAAGCTCACGTCTCTCCAGCAAGGAAGTCATTTCGTGCGATGCGGCGTCGAAGGTCTGGGAAGCGAATTGCAACGCCGGGGCATTGCGCGGCAGGCACAGTGGGGAGCCCGGGGTCTGGTGTAGGTGCCCGCCCGGCTTCTCTCATGAACCATCTCTAACTTTATCTGCAGCACCTATCTTTCATCGCTGCTGGAGACGCGATCGCAGCCCGTTCCGCTGAAGCGACACATCTTCTCTGCAGACGTGGCTGTTCAAACCGACAGCATGGTCATCGCTGCTCAGCCTGCTCTACACGGCGGCTTCGAGCGCACGAGCTTGGAAGCAACTGAAGAAGAGCAGATCTCCACACTGACCGCGACTGACCTCGCTTCGATCTTGAAGTGGAGTAAGGAGATATCGGGGGACATCAACCTGTCCATGGCTCTGCAGCGATTGACTGAAATCTCTACCGGTATGTATGGACGACCCTCTGGAGTGTGTTAGTGTCTTATTTCCCTGCAGAGGTATCTGGCAGTCAGAGTACCTGTGTCGTCATCGCCCGTGAGGCAGGCGACTACACGGTCGCCACCAGCATGAACCCTCCCGACGCCTGTAAAGTGCACGAGTAGGTGGTGTTTGTGTGTATGCAAGTGACGTGCTAACGATGCACCACAGGAATCCGCTGCCCATCCGATCAATCTCGGACCCGCTCAAACGAACGATCATCCAGCATGCCCTGAACACCAAAGACCGAGTGTACTACGAGGACATCACGTCCGAGCCGCGCTTCGCGTCCGAGGCGCAGCTGAGCCCGCACCGCTCCGTGATCTGCATCCCGATCTTCAGCAACCGCGGGCAGACGTTCGGCGCGGTGTACCTCGCGTCGAAATACGCGTTCTCGCCGAACGTGGTGACGATGCTCACGCTGCTGTGCCAGCAGGCGAGCATCGGAATCTCGAACGCGCTGCTGTTCCGCTCGGTGCAGGCGGGCACGAAGGAGAATCTGAAGATGATCTCGGCGCAGAGGGACGCGCTCGAGGCGGCGAGGAAGAGCAGGGAGGACGCGTTGAAGGCGACGAAGGTGGGTTTTGTTTGTTGGAAGAGGGCGTGGTATGGGTTCGAAGCAGGGCGGGACTGACTTTTTGGGTTGGTAGATCAAGAGCAACTTTTTGGCGTCGATGAGCCATGAGTTGCGCACGCCGTTCAGGTCAGTGTGGGTTTGTGGCGCGGATTTCGAGCGACACTGACACGTCTTCACAGCTCGTTTTACGGTCTTTTGGATATCTTGAGTGGCACTGAATTGAATGCGGGTCAGAGGGAGATCGGTGAGTTGGCAACGGGTCAGATTATTTACTACAACAATCGCTTACCGATGCCCCTAGTCCAAACAGCTAAGCAGTCTTGCGAACTCCTGCTTAAGGTACGTGTGCAGGATGATCATCTTGTAGGGGAATTGGCCGCTAAAGATTATGTAGATCATCGACTCTATCTTGGACTACAGCAAGCTCGAGGCTGATGGTACGGGCGTCTCCGTTCTCTCCATACGTGCTTTGTTCCTTATGCTGCTTTACAGCGGTCAAACTAGAGTACTCAGGCTTCTCGGTGGAAAACTTGCTTGCGGTAGGTCGCGCAGTATCATCATGCTCGACGCCGTTCTCATCTCCAGCAGGACTGTATGGAACTGCTCTTGCCCATGGCCGCGAAGAAGCTTGACCTCTCGTTCAACATCGAGCCCACTGTCCCACCTTGTGCGTGTTTGCCTTAGTGTCACTTTTATTATTATCTGACAAGCTGTGCAACAGGGGTGAAGGCTGACTACGCTCGAATACGCCAAGGTAAAGTTATATCTATTCCAGCGGTTACTGAGTTGTACCAACGCGGCCTCTCAGTGTTGATGAACTTGATCGGTAACGCTGTCAAATTCACCGCGAACGGCTTCGTGCGAGTTACTTGTGCCGTCGATACCACCCAGCCACGGACGACAACGGACGTGCATCTCAAGTTCTCAATACAGTACGCGAGACTTGCTTCACTGTCGGAGTACGGAGTCGCTGATTAGTTTTTCAATAGGGATACCGGCATCGGGCTGAGCTCTTCGTAAGTGGAAATTTGCGGATGTTTGGTACTAGATGCTCACGCTTTGTGCAAAAGTGACGTCGATCAGCTATTCGTTCCCTTTCAGCAAGCTGACAACTCGTCAACACGACGATTTGGCGGAACCGGCCTAGGCCTATCCATTTCGCGACAACTCGTCAAACTCATGGGAGGTGTCATTGGCGTGCAGTCGGAGCTCGGCGCCGGGTCGACGTTCTGGTTCACCATCCCCGTGAAAATTTTCGAGTCCGAGGAGTCGCAGCAATCCCTGCAAGAAATCGAGAAGCTGAAGGAGACTCTCGTGAAGACGCGCCCGCTCCGGCTGCTGATCAGCTCAGTCTCGAGCGCAACGATCTCAATGCTCGGCACGATGCTGAGCGGGTTCACGATCGCGGCGGTGCCGTCGATCGACGACGCGGACCGGTTCCTGCGCAACTCGGAGTTCGCGACGCAGCCGCTCGACTTTGTGATCCTCGACGACCAGTCCGAGCACCGCGCGGACGACCTCGCGCGCGTCGTGCGCTCGCTGCCGTACGCGGCGCTCCGCGAGACGAAGGTGATCCACCTGTTCACGCCGACGACCGACAACCTCGCGGGCGCGCCGATGCTCAGGAACGACAACGACACGACGCCGGGGATCACGCGCATGACGAAGCCGCCGAGGCAGCATAAGCTCCTACAGATGCTCGCGAGCTTGAAGAACGTGCTGGATCAGGTGCATATACGGCCTGTGGTCAACGCGTCGGAGCTCCGTGAAGAGGAGGCGCTGGCGCAGCGGACGCTATTCGGGAACGTCTTGGTGGCAGAAGGTGTGTTGGTACGATCGGAGGCTTCCGGCGTATTGCTCACGAGCCGTGATGTACCTGCAGACAATCCGGTCGCGCAGAAGCTCCTGATGAAGCAGCTGGAACGGTACGAGCTCAATGTAGTCGCGACGTCCAATGGCGAAGAGGCCATAGCTGGTATGTGACTCTTGTTCCCCGCTTCTGAGCGCGTCACTGACAGCAAATGTAGAATGGGAGAGACACGAGCCTGGGCACTTCAGCGCTGCACTGTTCGACCATCGTCAGTTGACATGAACTACCTGCATCGCGTTCCATCCTGATGAAGTATTCCGTAGATATGCCGATATGCGATGGCGTGGAGGCCTGCAAGCGTATACGAATACTGGAAGGGAAGCGGAAAGTGCCTACTCTGTTGCCCAGTAAGTTTGGAGCCTCGTCTATAATTGACACATTGCTCATCGCTCTGCTTCACAGTCGTCGCCCTTAGCGCGGACTGTCAGGAGTCAACCAAACAGCTGTGTCTCAGCGCGGGCATGAATGGGTTCTTTAGCAAACCTCTGAAGAAAAGTGCGTTGAGAGTGATTGGATCTTCAAGAGTAACATACTAACAGCTGCGCCTAGACGATCTGCTGCACCTGCTCGGGATGTTCGGACCTCCAATACCCGCGCAGAATACATCTCCACCTCCCACGCCGCCATAGTCGCCGCGCCCGTCCCCTCGTCTATCAATTCGTTCGTCGACATGCTTTGTATCGCATCGCTCTTGCCCCGCCTGTAGTCTCCCCGTCCGATACGGCCCCTGTACTCTATCCTCGCTCACTACACAAGATACAGACATACAATATACATATGTATAGCGCTCTATCGATATCCACTATCCCCTACGTACAATGTACCTGTCCACGATACCACCACAGCATGTGCCATGACCGATATATGTAGCTTCGACCGTTTCCTTGTTACCTGTCCTGTTCGCGCATTGATTCCTCCAGTTGCTACGACTCCGCACCCGCTCGGCTCCCCCTGTTCTCGCACCACCGGACATACACGCCGCTTGTAGAGTGCTAGCAATGATATATACTGTAATGACAGCAATCGACGGGTCTGAGATCTTGCAATTTTGACGTGAGCTTAAAGCTTAAAGCTTCGCGCGGTGCATGTGGGGCCTGGCCATACTTAGGGTGATCGTTTGGCAGTGAGTATGAGAGTAATGATGTACATGCGTGTTTCGGAGTCTGAGCGGTACATAGTCGTAAGCTATCCAAAAAAGCAATGAGAGCCTCGCACTAGGGCAAAGCCGTATCTATATGGATCATGAGCCAGCCACGAGGGAAAACAGTCTGACGCGAGTAAATGCGTCTATGCGGCTGCGGCTGCGTCGACGGCGGGAGGCCCCGCGCGGCGGTTGCGGAAGTGGCGCACGAGCCGCTGCATGACCGTCGTCTCGCCGTAGTAGCAGACGGTGACGAGGAGGCTGACGCCCGCGAGGCCGGCGTTGAACAGGCAGAGCGCCATCCAGCCCTTCTGGGGGCTGAGGTGGTCGTAGAGCTGCCCACCGATGACGGGGCCGACTGGGCGCACGGGTTAGCGGGCTGTTCTGGCGAAGGGTAGAGAGAGGGTGCACTCACTGGCGGAACCGAGCCCGTAGGCGACGTTGAATGCACCATAGATGTGGCCATCTGCATGGGTGCGGGTGAGTTTGGAGTGCGCAGAGGTCGGATGCGGCACTTACATCCCACACCATCTAGGCTGCGCGTCACTGCCGCGAACTCGGCCGTGACTGGTGAGATTGTCCCGGTGGCAAACAAGTCTGAGACGGCGGTATAAGTCGTCGGCACAGTCCAGTCAGGAGGAAGCGCTTACTGAGGAGCGCATACATGGCGAGGAAGTAGGCGAGATTGACGTGGATGAAAACCAGGACCCAGAAGGGCAGCGCGCAGACCAGACAGATGGCGGTGCTCACGATCGTGCCTCCGCGGTCGGCGTACCAGCCGCTGAGCGGCGAGGCTGCGTGTATACACAAATGTGAGCTGGGTCTCATGAGTATAGCTCGGATGTAGAACGCACAGATGAATGACGGGACGACGGCGGCGATGTAGACGAGACCGATCTTCGAGACGTCGAGGCCGAAGGTGGACTGCAGGTAGAGAGGAAGTACGGGCTCCATGCTGCTGATCATGATACTGTTGGGCATGTTAGACCACGATTATACGTGTAGTATAGAAAGCCCCGAAGCGTACCCGAAGCTCAACGTGAGGAAGACAGCAGAAAGTGCGCGAGGTGACTTCAAAAGCTTGAGGAGCAACCCCGGAATAGACAGATGCACCGGATCCTCGTTAACCTGTGTCTGCGAGCGAGCCACGGTCGGCGTGCGCGACGGAATGCGCGTCGGGGTCTCCGAGATCTCCGCGACGTCGCCCTCAGTCCGAGCCTCCTGGGTGGATACTAGTTCCGTAACGGTCGGCTGTTCCTCCCGCTTTTCCGCGTCGGCAGAGCCGTACGTGACGCCGCGCGCGGAGCCGTTGCGGCCGACGAGCTTCGTGAAGGAGGCGTCCACGCGTTCGGCGGCGGAGCGCTCGATGATGAGCAGACGGCCGACGAGCTCGGCGACGGTGACGATGATGCCGAAGATGAAGGGCGCGCGGAAGCCGAACCGGTCGTCGAGGGCTCCTGCTACGGGAGGGCCGACGAGGAAGCTGTAGCGAGGTCAGATGTGGTTGGCTGGGCTAGGGGTACGATACGATACGCACCCGAGCGACATGCCCATCATGGCAAGCCCGAGCTGCTCTGCAAAGAGATGACGGTGAGCATGATATTGCCCACCGCATAGCCCGAACCTCCCAGTACTTACTGCCAACGATCTTTTCGGGCACCGTGTCACAGCTGTCGATGCACTTGAGTGAAGGAAGGCCGTGAGGTGCGTACGAAAGCGCTTACATCAAGGCCAGGCCGACGACCCAGATAACGCAGGCACTAATGCCCTGGGCGATACGCGCGAGGACCATGACCCAAAATGTGGGTGCCTCCATTAGGAGCACTTGTGAGCCGATGAGTGCCGCCTGGCCGCATAGCAAGGGGATTTTGCGGTTCTTGTACCTCTCAGAGAGGAAAGCGATGGGCGGAGTGACTAGAGGAGGAGTTCTGTCCACATAGGCAGACCGGGCAGATACAGGGGCCACTTACATATAACGAGTGCTCCGGACTGGAGGGGTGTTTAGCGTTCAGATATTAGGTGCGTAGTAGACTGTTCTTTTGGAAACTCACATAGGCGAAGAGCAGCCATCCGACTAAACCGGAGACCCCTTCGTAGCCAAGACTTTGGAGGCGGAAGGGGATAATTGGAACGATCATGGAGTAAATAAGGAGATCGGTCGTTATTGCTGTGGATTTGTCAGCACATTGCGAGCGTCGTTGATCGCAGTGGGCTCGCATACCTATTCCGACAACTTTACACGACACAAGAAGGTTAGCGACGTGTCTCGAGCGCTAGGCGTTATGTTCGCACTGAGAGTGATAAACCAGACGGAGCTACGCCATTCGAGACCCCATGGCCGACGCTCCTTGGATTGAATGGCTGTCGTCGTGGCCTTCTCTTCGACCCCGATTGGAGGGTACCCGTGTGTGTTCGACATAGCTCTGGCAGCCTGCAAGCGTCGTATGCCGAAGGAGGTGAAGGCGACCAGCCGGGGGCGGATTAGACGGCGGTTTTGAGGAGGTCGCGAGCAGTGAGTGCGTCGACAGCGCTGGCTGCGCTCGAGTCTTCCCACGAACAAGGGTTTACGACAGAAAGACCTCGTTCGACGCAAGAGCTGACTCCGATGTTTTCCGGACGACCTGTGGCGCCACCAGTGGGTCGACTATCTTGGCGTTTTCCAGGGCGCCCCGCATGGACGGCCGGTAGCAATGGACGGCCGGTGGCAGTGTTGGAGTCCATATAGGGCAGCTCTGCAAGTTCCTTCCAATTCGCAGCGGAGAAATGCCTTCTGCTGGTCTGCGCGCGCTGAGGATATCGCACGGCGAACAAGGTGCCGAACCAGCTGCGTGTTATAGCTTGAAAACCCATGCGATAGGCTTGCGACGGTTGAACGTTTTGTCAAATTTAAAGCTATCACATGGCTATGGCAGCAGCTGGACTTCGCCCTTTGTCTGCCGTGTGGGAGTGATATCCGGACGTCAGTATATTTGGATATGAAATCACTAGAAGTTAACCGATGACGGTTGATAAGTACCTGCGTCGAATTTTCGTTGTGCAGAATGGGCCGGTTCAATCGGGTTCAAGTCAAAGTCGCATATTTATAGCCAGCGGATCAGCACTGTTAGAGTGTACCCCTTGGTGTGAATTCAGAAAAGTGCGCAGAATGTCGTTGATTGTTGCATAGGACCCACCGTCACGGGAGTGGTGTCCACAGAAGTTCATGGTACTTAGCCGAGGAAGATAGAGCTTTGATTGGCTGGTGCGAGCAATAATCCCGCTTAGACGCCAGGAACGTGGGCGCTTACGCGTGGATCACAGCGGACGTGGACTGGCCACTCAGCGCGCTCGCTACGCGCTAGCTCGCATCTCCTCCACCCCCGCTGTCCCCGCATCGCTTCGCTTCGCGCATGTCGACCTCTTCCACCTCCAAGCACAAACCGCGCCGGCGACAGACTCAGAAAGAAAAGACGCCTACCAAAGACTCCGATCCTATGCCTCGGACTCCCAGAGCGCACGCTACCTCGCTGGAAACTATCGAAGTCCTGCCACGCACTCCAATCACCTCGAGGACGCCCCGGCGCGGGTATGCGGCGTGGTCTGCGGATGAAGATGGGCACGCTGAAGAAGTCGAGCTCAGCTTGCTCGGGGAGGAGGATCGTCGACAGGCTGCCTCTGACCTGACTCTGGAGGAGGAGCAAGCATACCTGGCGCAGGCGGACGGGAAGCGGCCGTTCTCGTCGCGGGACAAGCGCGCCATCGTTCTTTTGATCATCCTCTGTGCGTCCTCTTTCCAAATGGTCCCGGCGGCGGAGATATCTGTCCCGCAGAACATGTTTCGCACTTGGTCACCCGGAACGCATAACATGTTCCGGAACACGTTCCGTGGAACACATCCCGTTCTCCCTCTTTCGCTCTTACTGCACGCCGTATACTGATCACGTACTGTCGCGCAGACCTAATCCAAGGATTCCCTGTAAGCTCCCACGCGTCCGTTCCTAATACACTGACTGACCCCGAACGTAGTTGGGTCTTGCCCTAGGTGAGCGCAGTCGACGCATTGCTGGACGTAACTAATTGTATGTCAGGGTCCATTCCATTCATTTTGCGGGAACATCTATCCTACTCCGAAATTGCCGTCTTCTCGCTTGCCGGCTATCCTTATTCCCTCAAGCTTTTGTGGTCACCTATCGTAGACTCCAAATTCTTCCCTTCGATTGGCCGGAGGAAATCATGGATCATACCAATGCAACTAATCATCGGGTCGATCATGCTAGCCATGGCGTACCATGCTGAGGAACTCATGACCAACGTGCGTAGTCCAGTGTACATTTCTCGCGTCTTAGACTGACGGTTTACAGCCTGGTCAACACTTGTATACCTTGAGCGCCGCGTTCACTTCGCTCGTGTTCTTCTCCGCCACCCAAGGTCAGTCATTGCTAAGATCCGGGCCGCGCTTATGAGTACTGACACAATCATACAGATATTGCCGTGGACGGTCGGTCCGGCGCGTGTCAACTACACGCATATGCTGACGAGTTCTTGCATAGGCTGGGCTCTAACACTCCTTTCCGAGGAGAACCTCTCCTTTGCGTCAACATGTCAAACGATCGGCCTCAACACAGGTTACCTGATGTCTTACACGGTGTTCCTTGCACTAAACAGCGAGGATTTCGCGTAGGTTTGTCTGTACTCGTTCCGTTTCGGATACTGACAGCGATTCGTAGTAAGAAGTGGGGCGTGCCAAGACTGACCTTGGGTGCCTACTTGACCTTCTGTGCACTCATGTCATTCGGTGTCACTATTTGGCTACTATTCATCAAAGAGGCGAGATTTATCACTTATCCTTTTACCCGATTTCTGACGTCCGAATAGGACAAAGAGTCTACGAGCGAAGACATCAGCGTGAAGGCCGTTTACGGCACTATGTGGGAAATATGCAAACTACGCCGTAGGTTTCAGTGGAATCGGTTTTCACGAGTTCAATAGACTGACCCCGTGAAATAGACGTCCAGACTATGTTCATCGTGCACCTGCTCGCCAAGGTCGGCTGGCAAGCAAACGACGCCGTCACGCAGCTCAAGATGGTCGAGAAGGGCCTCGGGAGGGAAGACCTCGCGATCACGGTCCTCATCGACTTTCCCTTCCAGATCGTTGGTGGCTGGCTCGCAGGAAAATGGTCGCGCGGGGATAAGCCGCTGCGCGCGTGGATATACGCCTTCTGGCCGCGCCTCGCGCTCACTCTCCTTTTCACGCTAATGGTGTACTGGTTCCCGGCGCCGCCCATCCCGGCCGGCTTTTTCGTGCTGCTCGTGACGGCCACGATTGCGCAGTCGTTCGCGGGGTGGGTGATGCGGCTAATTGACAAGTGTTTCCTGACTGACGTGTCATTGTTGCAGGACTATACAGTTCGGCGGGATATCTGCCTTCCACACCCGGATATCCGACCCTGTTGTGGGGGGGACGTATATGACGGTAGGTATCCGGATTTCCTCAGTTGAACTCTATCTGACGGCGTAACAGCTGTTGAACACGTTTACAAACCTCGGCGGGACGTGGCCTCGTTTTTTCGTCCTCAAAGGTCAGTCACGCATTTGCAATTCAGGAATGCTTTTGACTGAATGCATCATGCGGCACAGGGGTCGATTTCTTCAGCGTGGCTACGTGCGAGATCAAGGAGTCCGGGCTGTCAGTCAAAGGTACTTGCGTTTTCCATGAGGCCGACCTATAGAATATGTGCTCATGCATCCCAACAGCGCACGAGTGTGTCTCCGAGCACGGAAAGCTCGCGTGTACAGATCTCGGCGGCGAGTGCGTAACCGAGCAGGACGGGTACTACATCGTGTCCGCAATCTGCCTCGGGTTCGGCGTGCTGTCTGTGTTGTTCTTCCTGATACCGACGGCGAGGAAGTTGCAAGGTAAGCCCGTCGTGGTGTTGCAACAATGTCGAGATGCTGATTATGCGTCATCTATCTAGCTGTGCCGGTGAGCAAATGGAGGATATATACTTGATACTGTCGGGTATTTGCGTAGCTGTAAAAGTAGACGTACTCTATCGCACTATATATTGTGTTGTCCCCCGGACTACAGTCGACGTGCTCCTCACCCGTACCTCTCGTAACCCATAGACTGGGATGGACCATAGAGTGTTGTTGGCAGCCCGATCTATGGCGCTCATGGCTCCCGATGTGAGTGGTTCACGAACTCTCCACTTGGCTCGCATAAGTCTGCGCATATATTCGAACAACATACGAACATTCGTGGCAAAGCATAAATTGGGTACTACTAGCCCTCACACATAATTTTTGGCACGTACCCACGAATGAATGAGCGCTTCTTTTAATGGATACGAGCGCATATGAGCGCCTAATCAGATACTCCATGTCCCGTGAAAACCCATATAACAGGGTCGTTCCCGATACATATGGGACGGGTTTCGTCCGTACACTTGACGCCGTCGAGGTGTACAGGTTTGCGGGAAACGTGCGGGAAATGCGGTTGTAGCCTCGAGGCGCGTGCACAGACCGGCCCTGAGGCAGGTCACGCCTCGCAGCGCGGAGGAGACGGAGTGAATCTCTTCGTGACTTTTCACACATTTCCATCCTCCCGCCACTTGGTTTGCAACCTCTGCACACTGACCAGCACCCCGCACCTCGCGAGAACTGTACTCTCGACATCTTGCGACTCACACGAGCAAAATGACTGCCACAACTATGCACTTTGGCCCCGAGTGGATGCGCCCCAAGGGCACCGCGCGCCCTGCACCGTCGCCCCCGCTGACAACGTCCCCGGCCCCACCTGGGAACGCCTCATACTCTGCTCTTGTCACCCCTGCGACCCACCCGCCACCCGAGGGGAAAGATGTGGCTCACCCCTTCCGCTATTCCAAGGAGGAGATGCTCCGGATCTACAAGGAAGGAGGAGGCCGTGGAGGACTCGGTCTTGAGGTGGAGAGGTGGGAGGGCATCGTGCGCGAGATAGGCTACGATCCCGTTGGTCTCAAGGAGATGAGCGACGCGGAGAAGAAGGTAAAATTTCCCGCCCTATACGGCGCGCTAGGACCCTGCAGTGCTCAGTGTGTGTTATTGCGTCTTTTTTACAGCTTTACTCGGGCCCGCTGAACTCGGAAGTGCGTCGACGCCAGTCGACGGATTTTTTATCGCCTCTCACCACCACAGGCCTCGGGGAGCGTCCGAAGCTGGCACACGCTGGGTCGGGTGCCGGCAGCCCTATGCGGGAGCGGATCGGCAGCTTCATGGGGCGGCGCAGGGACAGCACAGGTAACGTCATCATTGTTCGCTTTGTGGGTGCGAACGTGCTGATCATCATTCATGGACAATGCGCAAGACCAAATGCCATTGACTATTCCCAGGAAGCTGTCGCTCTCCAATATGCAGGGCGCGCTTGCATCTCCGCGGGACGGCGCGCTGCCTTCACCAAGGGTGCGCCCTGGATTCGACGGGGTACTTAGTGAGACGTGGTCGGCACGAAGACGGAACGCCGAGCTTGCTAAGACTTCCAACGGACTCAACAAAGCCGACAAGGACGGCGACGGAGACGGAAAGGGTACAGATATTCAAGAACAGGAGGAGGAAGCCCTACATGGCTCCGAACGTGCGCAGAAGAACGGAGACTCTGGCGGAGGGACCTCTTCCGAGCTCAATACTGCGTATAATGGCGGTAACTCCAACAATAACACGTCGAACCAACTGAACGGACAGCTTGACAAATTATCGATCAACGGGAACACCCAACAACAGGGTTCAGCCAATCCGACCCAACCCCCGCCGGGCCTTGGGGATTTGTCCAGTATCGAATGGTCTTACTTGGATCCTCAAGGCAATGTCCAAGGTAAGATATTGTTGTGGCTTTTAGTGGTTAGGTGGCCTCACGGATTCAATCTCTAGGACCGTTCCCGGCGGACACCATGCAACGCTGGCACGAATTGAAGTACTTCTCGAGTGATCTCCTGATGAAACGGACGCACCTGGACACTGAGTGGACTCCCTTCGGTGTACTGATTGGTCGAGCTGGAGATCAACCTGTCTTCCTCACGCCCCTGGTACATGCTCCTACGCCACCTGGCTTGCCACGTCTAGACACTGTCGTCAACAACGGTATCCCTGAGAGAAACCAGCAGTCTCCGTACCAACCTGTGCCTACCCGCAATTTGCGCAGCTCGACTCTGGACTCCTACATGACGAGTAGTGGAGTAGCTCCGGAGTCACCTGCATCTTCTATGGGTGGTCGATTCGCCTCTCCCGACCCGGCTGTGTTCGACACTCGTATTGGAGGAGGACAACAAATGGGATTCAACCAAGGGGCGGAATCGCGCATGCCGTTCGCCGGCGGTCCAGGGCAGCGACGAGCAACTTTGAACCACGAGACCGGCGACCCCATATTCGGCAACAGGGCATTTGCCAGTCCTGTTGCCGGACGGACTCCTGGAGTTGATGGGATAGGATTTGGTAGGTGGTAATATATGTTGCTTGCGTCTTATGCGTCCTCACCATACGTCCAGCAGCGGGCGCTCACCCTTCTATCTTGAACGACACGACTTCTAGTCCCTTCGGACACAGGACTGTCCAGAACCCCGGCGTTTTGAACGGATATCCTGGCTCGTCCGTCTTGAATGGCAGTGATCTTGGATCCATCGGTGGGATGCATTCCAACCAGGGTACTCCTTCCAGGGTAGTGAATCGCGACCCTTTCGGCAAGCCGTTGGAGGACATCCACGGCGGTGGTTTCTCGAACACCTCCTCTCCCTTCATTTCTAACGCTGTACCGACGTTCCCTCAAACTCCGCTCTCGCATTTTGCAGGGCAGGAAACTCGCTCCTTACATACGATGACGCCCGACCGCCAGCCCGTAGCCCCTCTGTCGTTCGCTCACCAAATCCAGCAGCCTTTCGCACAGAGTCCCAGTTTCAACAACGCCCAATCACCGTGGCTCGCGCAGGAGGCCGCTCCGTTCCGCCGCCCGGGTCCCTTCGAACCCAACCACCCCACCTCGAACAACACGTTCGTCCCCCAGCCCATTGCGCACTCGCAATCATTCGGTCAACCTGCTCAGGGCGGGATCCCCGCCGCGCAATCACCGTGGCAGACTGCTCAGCCGGTGAACAATGACCCGTGGGGCGTCGCATCCTCGAACCTCACCGTTGCTAACCTCGGGCAACATAATGAACAGCAACGTCAAGCAGAAATCCACCACCAGCCGCCTCAGGAGAACGCCGCCGCACTCGCCGAACAGCCGCAGGCCCAAGCCGTCCCTTCTCCTACCGTAGCTCCCGCCGCACCTGCGGAGACCTCTGCACCTCAAAAGACCAGACGCAAGTCAGGTGCCCAAGCCGCCCCGCAAGCACCCAAGGTTCCCTCTCCTACTGCTGTGAAGCCTCCTTCGCCCATCCCTGCTCCACCTCCTATCACCGCCGCAACGTCGGAGCCCAAGGTGCCGTGGGCGGTCGACGACGAGAAGAAGCCTAGGACCCCTGGCGGCGCACTCAACTTGCGCGAGATCCAGGAAGCGGAGGCCAAGAAGACCGAGGCGCGCAAGGTCGCTGAGCGCGAGCGTGAACGCGCCGCGCGGGCCGCTGCCGCGAACACACAGGCTGAGGACTTCCAGCCGTTCACGGCGTCGTGGGGTCTCCCGACCTCGCAGGCTGGTGCTGCGCGTGCGAAGGAGACGCCTGCGGCTTCGCCTCTGACCACTTCCTCTTCGACTGCTGCTGCGCCGGTGTGGACGAATGCTACCAAGGCGCCGGTCGCGAAGAAGACGATGAAGGAGATCCAGGAGGAAGAGGAGCGCCGCAAGAAGCAGGCAGCTGCGAAGGAGAAGGAGTCGATGGCGGCTACCGCGCGGCGGGGGTATGCGGAGACGACGACCAAGGTGCGTGTATGCTGGGACTGTGCTCATGGGCGCCTGTTTGAACTTCAGGTGCTCTTTAGGCTGCTGCCCCCGTGCAAGTTGGCGGTGCGTGGACCACGGTTGGCTCTGGAGGCAAAGTGACGGCCGTTGCGACGCCGCCCGCGGTGGCCGCGGTGGCTCGTCCTGCGGCTACACCGGCGGTGTCTGCGAAGGCGGTCCCTACCGTGGCAGCTGCAGCTTCGCCGGTGGTTACCCCGCGTCCCGCTGCCGCAGTAACGCCGCGCCCAGTTGCTGCTGTCCTGAAGGCTACGCCGTCCAAGGAGGACAACTCTATTGCGCCTGGGCCGTCGTTGGAGTTCCTCAAGTGGATGAGCGACTCTCTGAAGGGCCTCAACAGCTCTGTCAATCGTGAGTTTCTTTCTCAAATACGCTACGATCCGGCTGCTAAATGCACTGATACAGTTGAAGACATCACGTCGATGCTTCTGTCCTTCCCGCTGGACCCGGACCAGTCTACGGTCGAGATCATCTCGGACCTCATCTACGCAAGCAGCACGACACTGGACGGCCGTCGCTTCGCCGCCGAGTTCGTCAGCAAGCGTAAGGTGGACGCTGCGGCACGCCCGAAGGGTGTTAGCGCGAGTGGGTCTGCGTCGAAGCCGCTGTCGATCGCGGACGTCGTGAAGGCGCAGCCGAAACCTGCGCAGAGCGAATGGGGCTTCAAGGTCGTGAACAAGAAGAAGAAGGGCGGCCGCGCGTGAAGGCCGATGGCTGGGAGGCTTCTCGGGCGCCGCTGGGACTGGGAGCGTGGCGCCTGCTATCTCATGTCGTGCTACATAATGGTTGTATAGTTGTTGTGCTCGTAATGCGCCCCCGCGAGGGCGCCGTGTTGTTGCGTATCGTACTAGTGTTGATGAATCTTATGTCTACCCCGCTCTGCATTGGAGTGCTAGTAGTGCTACAACAATGTAATGCGATGATCTCTAGCAACGGTAGCCTGCCCGATAATTTCAGGAGGCGCTACTGCTTCCAGCGGCGGCGTTGGTATCGGCGCTGACACCCATGTTGAATATGTCCTCCATGTTCATCATGTCCACCTCAGATCCTGTGGGGTGCTCGGTGAAGAAACCAGCATTCAGATCAAAGTCGAACCCGGCTTGGCCAGATGGCCCCGCGGAGCCCGAGCCAGAAGCATCCGGTTGTGAGGTTGCGGCGCCGAGGCTCGCAAGGAAAGCCCCTGGAGAAGGTGCAGCGACGGGAGCCTTCTGCGAGTCTGAGCCACCGGGCCCACTGGCTGCAGGGGTGTTGCCGCTGGGTGAGGCGCCGTTCCCGATGGAGGCGAAGATGTCCTCTCCCGAGGGTGAGGGCCCGACAGATTGGAGCGCGTTGAGCAGGTCGATGTCCATGCCGTCCTCGACCTTCAGTTTCATGTGCTCGCCATTGGACGGACCCGCTACCATGGTATGTGTGTCGAACATGTTCTGGTGCGCCGCGCCTGCCTCGCCCCCAGAGGTGTCGCCGAAGAACTGCATTTCCATGTCCAGGTCAAGCTCGATGGGCTTGTCTGCGGAGCTGCCGAGCGAGGGGTCTAGGCCCTCGCCGTTGCTGCCCATGCTGATGTCGGGGTCGACGGTGAGGTCGATGTCTACCGCTCGACCGTCGCCGAGCGCTGCCATGAGGTCGGGGCCAAGAGACGGTCGAGCTGAACGCGGAGCGAGCGTTACGGGCGAGGACAGCCCGTTTGGGAGCATCTCGTCGGGGTGTATGCGGAGCGCTGCGGCGGAAAGGTCGAGTTTCAACGGGAATGCCGGGCGCTGTAGGGAGGACAAGGAGATGGTGGACTGGCGGCGGGGCGTGGGTACAGAGGGCTTGGGGCGCGTGGTCCCGTCTGGCAAGGTCTCGATTTGAGGTTGACTCGGGGAAACTGGGGGCGTTGTGATCATGGCCGTGCTTGTGGTTGGCGAGGGAAGCTTGGGTGCGGCCGCGGCTGCAGCTTCTTCTTCTGCCTTGATACGCTGCTCTTCGCGCGTGAGATCGCGTTGTAGTACTGCGATGGCACGGAGCTGGTACGGGTTAGCCGCGGGCCGTTTCAAGAGCAAGAGGGTATCTTTACCAGCCGGGACTCTATTGCGTCGCATAGTTGGTCGTATCGCCCGACTTCGTGCCCCAGAGACGCAGTCAATGTTTGCGGGGGGTGCGGCGCGTACTTCTGAATGCCACTGCAGCGTCTTCAGCCACAGCAGGTTATGGGACAAGAATGGTCCTACAGTCTCTTCACGTCGGTGTAGAAGGCGTATACTTGGCCTGTTTTGACAACAGCTTGCTAAACATTGCGTATGAGAAATAGTGTAGATGCAGGGAGTACGAGTGGCCGCACCTGAAAACAGGTAGAGAGCGCGGTGATTTCTTCCTCCAAAATACCGCGCGGCGGCAAAGGGACCGGCGGTGGTGGCATAGAAGTGCTTGGTGTGGACGCGTCTTTCGCGCCAGGCGTACCGCTCGCATCTTTGGTAGTCGCAGATGGCTTGCGGATTGGTCGAGGTTTGGGAGGCATTGCGAGCGCGAGATGTCGCAGAGATGGTGGAGAGGAAGGAGTGGCTGGTGGTGTCAAATGTGGCTAGACGGATCGGGATGAGGCGCGTCTCGGCTGCTCATCCCTCCACTCTCTTGACCTTCCTCCTCATCTCTGTCGACGGCGACGACGACCTCGGCTGCATACCTGAGCTGAGCACACTAGCCCTGGCTGCTTTGTCGTCACCTACTGCTGAATAGAAGCTTGACGCATGCTACGCTAGTCCGCTTGCCTGCTTCCGTGAACCTGTCTGGTCTTGCTACACCCTCGTTGTGACCAGGACCAATCAATTCGGGTGGCAGATGCCTCTTTCGACAACGTCCTCATGGAATGGCCTTGATTCCGATCCCCCTCATGGTTCTGTTCTCCCTGTGAGTTCTCCCTCTTCACTGATTTCCCACCCGCAGCTCAATGTAAGGCCGGGGTATAGCGCCGTGCTCGCCATATAGCATCCATTCAAATTCGCAATCTTACCCCGTTCCCCGCCCGAGATGCCCTGGCTTCAGCCCTCACCAAACCATCTGAGCAATCCCAGTTTACTCCTTATGGTCACTATTCAGATGACCTCGACCTTACCGTTGGGAAGAAGCGCGGGAGGAGGATATCCGCCGCGAGCTCTACGTTCTCTGCGGCCAAGGAAAGCGACGAGAGCCATTACGGGGGTGTGGACCGCTCAGGAGACCCACCGCTGAGAAGACGGACATCATCTCGCGCCAGCATACCTCTGTCCACATCCGCGGGATCCTCCAGCCCTAAATTAGCACGGCGACCCTCGACTGCAGGCATTGGATCCGCCGTGCGACCAACACATCGACCCCGCACGCTGTCCCATGCATCATCACATTCTCTCCGTACGACGTCTTCGCATAACCTGTCTACGGACCTTACCACCTCGACCTCTTCTATCTTCCCCGGCCTATTTCAGGATACATCGCAGAAGAACCTCCAGAAGATACTACAGTCGCGGTTAGTGGAGACGTTTGTGACCATTACTCTACTGCACGACAAACCGCAAGCTGGGACGCGACCGAGTACACCCACAAGTGGCCGGGAACGCTCCCAATCCCGCCCCTCTACACCTTCTCGACCACCGAAAGAACCAGCCGACACATCCTCGTCCAGAACCACCCCTCTGTCCAAGACTACACCCAGGCGAGGTACTGTGGGGTCGTCAAATACTCCTATTAAACCGGCTACCCCTGCACGACATGCACCCTCAGCCTCAGCATCTTCTATCAGAAACTCCATGGCTCTCCACGGGAAGTCCACCTCTATCACCTCAATAGTAAACGGCCGAACCCCCAAGTCCCCCTCCGCCACATCCCCCCAGAAAGCACGTTTCCCCGTGCCGTCTTCCTTGGCCCTGTCTTCTGCGTCATCTCCCGCTACCAGCGCCACTATTCCCGATGGTCAAGCCAAGCCTCCTACCTCGTCCGCAGATGACCACTTGCCAGTACCAGACTACATCTCTCCAGTTCATTGGCCGTCAACGAATCCTGTGTTTCAGCTCAGCAAGTACGAGTTTGCGCCCAGTACTGACTTGAGCACGTCCAAGATGCGGGTCGAAGTATGGGGTCGCACGGGTGGCGGAGAGTCTCAGTCACCAGACAACACACGGCCTCCGGCAGGGAAGGCGGCAGACACCAAGGGTAAGGGCAAAGCGAAGCAGCCCGATGACGAAGCCACCAGCTCCGAGTGGCGGATATTGGAAACCTGGGACGTCGACCTCAGACATTTAACCGCTCTGACAGAGGATGTGAGTCTGCCGCATAGACTGAGCCATACCGGTTTAGTGACACCTTCGCAGCTTGCAGCTCGTCCAGGCCACCTGCCCTCGAACACGCTGCTGATCGCCCTCTCTACCGGAGAGACGTTCTATCTCCCTCCGCGCTCCCTAGGTCCTGCATCACCGGCGCGATCACCTTCCCCGAATGCCGGGTACAATTCGGACCCGGAAGGCGATTACGCCGCCTTTCTCTCGCCCCGGCCGGATGCGAGCTTTGACGGCTTGCCATTGAGTCCAGCGATGAGCGAGTTCGACGGCCATAGCCGACGAAAGGGGGCGGGGAAGTCCGCAAATTTGCAAGACATCCTCAAGTGCGTCGGTGGTGTCTTTGAGAAGTTTTTTTTATTAACGGCCGCTCAGGCTGATCAACCTGCAGGCGTGTATCTTGGACACGGAGCAGTCGTTGGGCGAGGTAGTGCGCGAGATCGACAAGACGGTCGTTCATAATGAACTCGGCGCACTAGTCAGTGTTTTCCTTGTTCTCATCGCCTGCGGAGCGACTGAAAGTTTTCTAGGTTCGAGAAGTGTCTGAACGGGATGCTTGGGTATCTGAATTGAAAGAAGAACAAGCGAAAGTCGATCGAGATTCAGAGAATTGTGAGAACATCTGACCGGCCAAATACCTCTTTGCTAACCTTGCTATCTAGTGAGAGCCCGCATTGAAGCGCGAAGACGAGGCTTACAACATCGACGCGAGACAATTGCTCAAGCGCGCCAGGCGCACGAGGAAGACCTCGCAGAAGAGTCACGGGTCGACGACGCTATCGTAGAGGAACGGTAAACTCAAATTTCATCCGCTAGCCGTTGCTCAATCTGACGATGAATGTCTTTAGGATCCGATTATCATCCCTTCGCAGCCTATTGCCCATCATTCGCAGCAACCTCATTTCCATCGTTTCATTCATATACCCTATAGAGCTCGTCTCTCCTCCAGACCTTCTCTTCACGGTCCTGGATGTACCACTCCCTATACCCGCAACGGCCACGGACCCGGCCCCGCCACTATCATTACCTGCGCACAAGGAGGTTACAGAGGACAGTGTCGCCACCGCGTTGGGATACTCCGCACAGGTCGTGCAGCTGCTCGCGGCGTACATGGGGCACAGGCTTATGTATCCTGTGACGTGCGTGGGCAGCAAGAGCATGATCAAGGATGGGATCTCAGCGATGGTTGGACCGAGAAAGTGAGTGGGCACGCACTTTGTGGCCGCTATTCGCATAGCTGACCGCGCTTACCGTTACGTAGTTTTCCGCTCTTTTCCAAGGGCGTGGACACGTACCGGTTCGAGTACGGTGTGTTCCTACTCAACAAGGACATCGAGATGGTAAGCACCCACACCGCGCGGGTATTTGACGCGCTGCTGACGCTATGTTTGATCATCTTAGCTCATGACGGAACGGAATCTGCGCGCGCTCGACATGCGCCATACGCTCCCGAATCTGAAGAACCTGTTGCTCACGCTCACCGACAACGAGCAGCACAGTATTCCGTAAGCTTCTGACAGAACGCCGTGTGCTGATGCGACGTTGACACTGAATGCACGATGCAGGGGCCATCGCGTCGCTTCGTCCTCGGTCTCCATCTCTTCCCTGCAATCGCAGTCCCCGATGCCGGCGACGACGCCGCTTCCGGCGTCCGCCGACCCGACGCCAGGTGCTGACATCGGGGATGCCGGTGCTGGCGGTGGCAAGCATTCTGCAGCTGACGAGCCGGCGCCAGCGTCCGAGAATGGCGCGGGCGTGGGTGCGGGCGCGTCGAGCGGCGGGACGCCCCCTGCGAGCGGGACGACGACGCCGACGAAGGGCCCGCAGCGCAAGGCGCGCGCGTTCCTCGACCTCGCGCCGCTGACGGGCTTCCTGTCGCTGCGCGGCCGCTATCCGACGAGCCAGAAGCCGACGGTGAAGCCCGTGGAGGCGTCAGACGCGGAGACATCGGCTGGGCAGGCGAGCACGGCTAACGGGAGCGGCGCACAGACGGGCGAGCCGGGGGACGACGGGGAGGATGAGGACGACAGGAGGACTATTCGCGCGGGGGGCACGGTCAGCGGGGAAGAGGAAGATGAGCCGGTCGAGGAGGGCAAGGGCGCGCGAGCCGCTGCGAACGGGGACGCGCGACATGCGCCGCTGCCCATCCCTGTCGTCGGGCGGGAGAAGGTGGCGGGGGACCACGGTGCGCGTTCTCCCCCGATGGTGGCGGGCTCTTAGAGTGTTTGAGTTGGGCGGGACGTCGTACACTATCCTTCATTTGCTTCCGTACATTACCGTTTGGCCGACATGTTTTGGCTTGTGCAGTGTTGTGCTATACGGATTGGAGTCGCTCCTTTGTCGTCGCGCGAGCCGACGCAAAGGCTAGTGTAGAACAGGCTTTACACTCGCCGCGGGTTCGCGTTCGAATCGCGGGCTTTCGGAGATGCCTCCGCGGCGCTGGGAGCGCGTCGGGTGCATAAATGAAATGTCGAGGCCGGTAGCGCCTGGGCACACGCTAGCACGACACCTCGCCGGATGTCTCCATGACGGCGGGGAGAGGCACCGACCTTCCGCAGAGGGCGAAGGTGGCCCAGGGATGCAGAACGAGGGCGGCGGGCCGGCGCTCGAGGCAAGCGGGCGTGCAGGCAGCGCGCGCGGAAAAGGGAGAATCGGTATTCCGAGAGTGGCCGGGTACACTCTTCACGAGCTCTTCACGTCGCGTAGGGTCGCGGTGCGCCTGCCTGCCAGGTGGCCGCTCGCGAGGGGCCAATGGAGTCGCCTGGAACGGCGATCTGGCGTTGTGGGCGCCGCGGGACTCGGGTGCGCGCGCTCGTCGTAATTTCTGGACGTGGCGAGGGCCGACAGGCGCAGCGTCGGCAAGCATTACGCAGCGTATCTCGCGACTGGGAATTGCAATGAGATAGAGGTGCACAGTGGACGCACTTGCGCATCCCCCCAGGGCCACAAAGGACAGACAGAGAGAGGCAAGGCCGCAATATTCGGCGCAATTTGGGAAAGGCTTTTAGCGTCCGCGGCCGGGCCGGGCGCTGCAACCGATTATGTACAGACGGACCGCGCCTTTTCGGGGAGGTTGCGCCGGGCGCCTGTGGTAGAGGCGGGGGCGGGGCCGGGTGTAGACTCGGGATTGGCGGAAGATTTATGGGAAAGAGCGAAGCGTAATTGTGGAAAGACGTTAGCGAGAGGGGCAGGCAAAGGAGACGGCAAAAAGTGAAGAAGTGCTGATGAGGGTTTCAAGGGGCGTCTTTCGCGCAGAGGCTCGGCCGCGCAGGAGGCGGAGGTTTAAATTCGGGGGTGTCCCCGCCGGGCGTACATTTAGAGTTCCCTGCTCTTCCCCAGTAAGGACGCTCCTGTACACCGCTAATAGTCCTCCCCACCGCTCTCGACAACTGCTTGCTATCAAAATTCGCCCCAGCGTACGCACAACCCCCTCCTCGTCGTCTGCGCCGTCCTGACCGCCCCCGCCCGCAGTACATCCGATACATTGTAACAACATAGTCGTTATAGACGGGCTAAAAATCGGCTGGCAGGTGCGCGCCCTCATTTTCGTCCTCCCCCGCCTCCGACACTCATCGTGCTCGTCACTCGCGGTGCGCATCGCCTGTGCAGGATTACCCTTGTGCAATTAGGCTTCTCTCGTTCTCTACTCTAACCGTGCTGCCCAATCTGTTCTTCGTCGACTACCTTGCTTCAAAAGTATTCGCCGTCCCTCTTTCGCTATGAGTACTACCTTGGATTCCTCTACTTCCCCCATCGACACTCGTCAGGCCCACGACGACAGGATCCAGAGCCCGCCTGCCTTCCTGGACCTCGCGGATTCGGTGCGTTGTATCCCGCGCCGACTCTCTGACGTATCCCCTGACACCCTTCTCTCGTGCCCCCGCAGGCCGCGAGACTCGGTGGTAATATCCAGGACGTGACCGCTGTGAGTGTTTTACATCGTGGCAACGCGACTCATCCTCTCGTAATTCGCTGACCGATCTTCGGCCAAAGCAGCAACGCGCTCTGAAGCGTATGGAACACGAGCGCCAGCGCGCCCTCCAGCGCAAGATGTTTGAGGACCAGATGCGCGCCCTCGAGCAGCAGCAGGCCAGAGAGCTGTTGACCATCCCGATCGAACAGCAGCACCTCGCTGTCTCGGCGCCTACCACCCCTCCGCGTGTCAACGCAGTGCTTAGCGATGACCACTCGCCCACCTACCACTCGGCCCTCTCCAAGTCTATTGTCGACGCGGACATGCTGTCGAAGGCCGTTGGGAACGCGGACAAGCGTAAGTCTGTCACCTACGCGCCCTCCGTGAACCACTCTCCGGAGATGCCCTCGGTCAACCAGTCGTTCGCTCGCCCGGGCGGCGCCAAGAGTATGCCCGCCAGTCGCCGTACCTCCGCTAGCGAGCACGATGAGGAGCTTGCCGGCCACCTGCAGGGACTTTCGCTTGCTGGCGAAAGGTCGGAGCGCATGTCGACGCAATCCGGCGTGATCCCGCAGTCGATCCTCCGGTCGAACAGCGGCCGCTTTGGAGGAAATGATGGCCATAGTTACGGCAACGTCTACAACGCTGGAATGATGCTGGATGAGCAGCTGGATCAGGAGATGCACAGTGCGTGTCTGCGTCCGTTTGCGCGCTTTGCATTCAGCTGATGGGTGTAGACGCCATGCGCCATCTCCCGACATCGGACGAAGACAAGTACTCCAACGGGTATTCGAACAAGGTGCGTGTCGTATTTGCAGCAGCGTCTAGCCTTCCCTTACCTACGCGTTAAGCTGTCTTCGTCATCCGCCGCCGCGCTCGATCTTGCGCCTCTCTCGCACCCGCAGCAGAAGTCTTCGGAATGGCCACAGTTCAACGGAAATGCGCGTCTTCCCGACGGCATGAACCGCGCGGATCGCCGCAATGTGACCAACCCGACGATGACCTTGTCGCCCGCCCTGGGTGACCTGCAAGGGAAGCCGAACGGCACGGTGTCTGGTACTACGACGCCACTTCTTCAGCAGGTGTCTTCGGGCCTCGCGCAAGGCCTTTCTTCGCGCCGCGGTTCTCCACTTAGCCTTGGTGATACGTTCTCATCTATCACCTCCGCCCGCTCTGTCCCCGCCACCCCCCTGCCTGGGATGCCCGGTTCGGCTGGACAGCTCCAGAAGGCACCTGGTACTCCGCTCTCCGGTGGCGACCCGCACAACATCAACGGCATCCTGAGTGCCCAGATGTCGCGTCAGATGGGCGACGACAGCGACCTGAACCCGTCGCTCTCGCGCATGCCCTCGGGTCAGTTCGACAACAGCCCTTTGAGCTTCAACTCGATCCAGTCGGGTATGGACGACGTACGTGCATACACCACCATTCAAGAGCCGTGTGCTGATCAAGTGATGCAGCAGTATTCTGGCGACAGTGTGTATGGGTTGTCGGGAGGTATGGACAATGACCGTTTCAACTCGTATGGGTTTGAACAGAACGGTCGCGGTTCTGCAGTTGGCGGTACTGGTTCAACAGCGCTCTACCACCACAACGGTGCGAAGTACGGCTTCAGCGTGAACGGTCGCCCTAGCCCGGCGGCAGTGGATAGCAAGATGAACGGGCTGCACGGTCCCAAGCACAAGCGCGGTGACATCGACCGGGAATGTACGTCAACCGGTCTATGGCATGGTACCACCCGATGCTAACTGGTTGGATGCAGTTAACCGCTTTGCTGGCACTCGGTTGGAGGACCTCGTGGGCGAAATCCCCCAGTTGTGCAAGGACCAGCACGGTTGCAGGTATCTCCAGAAGAAGCTGGAGGAGGGCGTTCCTGAGCACCGCGATATGATCTTCCGCGAGACTTTCAGTCACTTCGCGGATCTCATGACGGGTAAGCAAAGAAGCATCTTTGCCATGCGAGAGGACCCTAGTGCTGACGCATGTGTTAGACCCCTTCGGGAACTACCTCTGCCAGAAGCTGCTGGAGTACTCGACTGACGAGCAGCGCAACGTGATTTGCGAGTCCGTCGCCCAGGACCTGGTCAACATCTCTCTCAACATGCACGGCACCCGCGCGGTCCAGAAGATGATCGATTTCCTCTCTACGCGCAGACAGGCGAGTGTTTTTTCATCCGACCTTCCACCCCGCTTACAGGAGACCTGGTAGACTGACCTCAGATGCAATGGTCAGATTCACTCCATCATCCTTGCGCTGAGCCTGCACGTCGTTGTCTTGATCAAGGACCTGAACGGCAACCATGTCATTCAGAAGTGCTTGAACAAGCTGGCTCCGGAGGACAACCAGGTGTGCTTGGCTGTTTCAGTGAGCTGATCGTTTCAGCGCTGACTGAATGTCTTGTGCGGCACGCAGTTCATCTACAACGCGGTCGCTGCGAACTGCGTCGAGGTCGCGACTCACCGTCACGGCTGCTGCGTGCTCCAGCGGTGCATCGACCATGCGTCTGAGCATCAGCGCGTCCAGCTCGTCAACGAGATCACGTACAACGCGCTGACGCTCGTCCAGGACCCTTACGGCAACTATGTAAGTTTCGGCGTTACGCCGTGCTTGCGGCGGATCGTTTCTGTTCTGATACCGAGTACTGATGCGCAACAACAGGTCGTGCAGTACATTTTGGATCTGAACGACAACCGCTTCAGCGATGCTGTAATCCGGCAGTTCACCGGGAACGTGTGTGCCCTTTCGGTGCAGAAGTTCAGCTCGAACGTGATCGAGAAGGTGCGTCCGCCACACTTCCCTAACTCCGTGGACGGAGGTGTCTGACCGTGGCGCACAGTGTGTCCGAGTTGCGGAGCACAACACTCGCAAGATGTTGATCGGCGAGCTGTTGAACCGAACGCGCCTGGAGAAGCTTCTCAGAGATTCCTATGGCAATTACTGTGTCCAGGTCCGTTTTCCCGCGCAGTTACAAATCTTCGGGGTGCTCATTTAGCGTCGCTTGCAGACTGCATTGGATTACGCGGAGCCTGCCCAGCGCGCGCTCCTCGTCGAGGGCATCCGCCCGGTTCTGCCGCTTATCCGGAACACGCCGTATGGCAAGAGGATCCAGAACAAGCTGCAGCGGGAGCACAACGACACGTACGGCGGCGGCGGAGGCGGCGGCGGCTACCATCACAACCAGCAGGCGCTGGTCAACATGGCGCTCGGCAATCAGGGCATGGGAGGCATGGGCCACGCCGCGCACAGCGGAGGCCGCCACATGTCCCACCTCCAGGCCGGCGCTCTCGCGGACGCCTACACGGCGCAGAACGGCCTGTATGCGCTCCAGGGCGGCCCTGCGATGCATGCGCCGCTGCACGGCGGGCTCCAGTCGCACCAGATCGACAGCTACGTGATGCAGGGTTCGAACAACCACAGCCCGGGCCTCACGCCGCCGCAGAGCCACGCCGGCGCGTTCTCGGGCATGTCGTCGTACGGCAGCGTCAACTCGTTCCCCGTCAATGTCGCGGACCCCTACCAGCGGTCGTTCGCGTACGGCATGTAATCTGGCCCCGCTGCTCTCTGTCCCTCGTCTGTGCTCTTTCCAAGGTTCCCAAGGTCTCTAGCGTCATCGTCATCTCCGTCTCGAAACAACGAAAACAAGAACAAGAACATCAACATCATATGCATACCTTCGTCGCTCCTTTGGCCTGCCCCCCGTAATCGCCCCCGCGCGCCGCGGGGCCATCCCGCGGCGTGCGGGATTATACCTATGCTGGCTTGCTATGAACTCTGTTCAGTATCCTGGCTCCCCTCGCCCCGTCTACCCCGCCCGCCCGCCGGGCGCCATGCATTCTGGGCACCCCATCAACTATATTACCATCCACGCGCAATTGTATTTTGCACATCCGCATCCACAGGTGTTTCGTCATATATATCTCGCTCTTCTCGCTTTCCCGCCTCCCCTCCTCCTTCCCTTCCCCCCTGCCCCGCCCTGCCCTTTCTGCGCCGTCCTCGCCTGGGACGGCGGGGTGTGGGGAGGGGGGACGTCTCCGTCGCCTCGATATCATCTACTCGAACCTTTTATATCTCTCTCGTTGCTGCTTGCATTGCTCCGCGCCCCCCGACACACCCATTTGTACTGCGTACTTTTTCACACGTGTACAGCGTACCTTTGCAACCCACCTCTCTCTCCCACCGCCCATTCCTAGGCCCCGTAATTTGTCTTATAGTATATCGAGAGCATTATTTGTTTGTCATCCTGTACTTATTCTGCAATCTACGAGTCGTTTGATTAGGTTCAGGACAAACTAACGGTGGGATATGTGCGATACTTAGCCTTGCAGCTTCAAGTTCGAGGGGGACGTGGCACTGGATGGCGCGTCGACGCAACGCGTCGGGAGCAAATGTGCACGTGAGACGCGTCAAGGTCGCTGCAGCGCCGCGGTACTTGTGCTTGTACGCTTCTTGACCTGCAACCACTACTTGCATTAGACAGGATGAGAAGACGGGATTTCGTGCCATCCCCGACGCCTCCTGAAGATTATGACGGCGACTCTGACAGAGAGTGGACGGTCGCGGGCGTGGTCGGACAGAGCATTGATACGTTCGGCGTAGAGAGGTAGGTCACTGAACACTCCCCAAGCGATACTGAAGCAGATGCTAATCCCGTGCGGTCAGATTTGAGGTACGTTCCGCCTCGTACTGCGTACGTTCGCACCGGATGCTCACATTGAGACGAATCGCCACAGGTGCAATGGGGAGACGGCTGGCAGCGCAAGGACGGGACAAACACGACCTGGGAGCAGCTTGGAAGCAGCGACACCGTGGATTCGCTCATCCGGCGGTGGAAACGCAAGCAGGAACAGAAGCGCCTCGCCGCCGCGGAGAGATTCCGGGGCGTCGCGGTCGGCATAAGCAAGCACCAGATGCTGCATGAGGACCGCACAACGTACGAGCTCGTGCGCGGGGAGCAGGAGCTCCGACGGCTGCATCCTGGGGTAGAGGCCATGCCGTTCGAGATTGACGGGCCTCTGAAGAGGATTAGGCCTTCGACTTCAACTGTGAGCGAAGGAGGGTCCACGAGGGCGAGGGAGAAATCGCGGTCGCGGTCTCCAGAGGTGCCGTGGCCTGAGCCGCCACATCCACAGCGGCAGGTCAGACCGATCCCGAGACGAGTTAATGTAGCGAGGGTTCGGTCCTCACCAGATGTCTCTGATAGCGACCCCCTTGTAGCCGCGCCGCCGCCGCAGCGCCTCAAGCTGACTCGAGAGGCTCTGCAGAGGCAGTGGGCGAGCAAGCTTCGTGGTTCTGCGTCTGTAACGTTCGTTAACGAGGTCAATACGGAGGAGATTCCGAGTCTGGTCAATGGATTCCAATACATCGAGCGAAGCTATGTCCGGTGAGTCGAAAACATAGAACGGATAGACTTGAATCAGCGGAGACTGACAGCCGTGATCATAGCGCACCAGACGTGCCCGCGAATGACCATCTTGCGGACATTCTCGTGAGCTGTGAGTGTGGGGAATGCGTCGATGCGGAAGAGTGTGGGTGCCAGGACCCATCCGAGCTCACGGACGGTGTGGGCAACAAAGTCTTCGCGTACTCTAAAAGGGTAGACCCCAAATTCTCCGCCTCCGCGCCCACCCCGCTTATTTTTATTTGTATCGCCGTCACGCAGGGCCTCTTCAACTTCAATCTCCCCTCGGGCACGGAAGCGATTGAATGCAACGCGGTACGTCTGCGTTCACCCTTTGCGTGATCTCGCGGCTCCTGACGGACTCGCTCGCAGTCCTGCTCGTGTGACGACCAGTGTCCAAATCGTGTCGCGCAGCTCCCGCGAGACGTGCCCATCGAGGTATTCCGGACGCGCGAGCGCGGCTGGGGCGCACGCGCAACGACGGCGCTGCCCAGAGGCAAGGTCGTTGGCATATACACAGGGCTAGAATCTCTCCCTCGCCTCGATCGCTAGGAGCCATGCTGACGTGTGGGGTGCAGGCAGCTAATGCATGTGTCGGCATTTCGATTTCCGGACGAGAAGCTTGGCTGACGCGCTTGGGATATCCTACAGCCGACGGGAAGAGGCGGGTCGCCGGTACGATGAGCGCAAGTCGTATATCTTCGACCTGGATGTGCGCGAGAGCGCGGAAGACGAGGACGAGGACGAGACGGAGAAGTTCAGCGTGGACGGGCATGCGTACGGTATGCCCTTCATCTTCCCGCCTTTTCCCGCCGAGAGAGAGTTGCTAACGTGTAGGTCGACAATAGGGAACTGGACGCGATTCGTCAAGTATGGCATCCCTATCTCTAACTCATGCGTCTCCGATCTTAGACTGAGCGTACGCTTCACAGCCACTCGTGCGAACCGAACATGAAAGTCTACCCCGTCGTCTGGGACACCATCCCCGAGGCAAGTTCTTACACCAGCTGCTCGCCTCCTCCTGAGCTATGCATCGACCGAAGCACACTGACACTCTGCGCGCCCGCCCCCATAGCTCAACCAGCCGTACCTCGCCTTTGTGGCCACACAAGACATCCCCGCACGCACGGAGCTGTCGATCGACTACGACCCGAAAGCGGGCGAGGAGGCCCGCACCGCGAAGCAGAAGGGCCGGCAGGCCGTCCCCGAGGGTGCGCGCGAGTGCCGGTGTGGCACCGACAGCTGTCGAGGCTGGGTGCGGGTATGAACGCCGCGCGGATGTGCGCGGTTAGTATGAGGGCCAAGGCGTTTCGAGCGAGCGAGCGAAAGGGCGTATCGAGACAGCGGGAGGACGTGTTTCGCAGGGATGCAGTAAAATACAGGCAGGGTAGATACGCGCGGGCGGGGCCGGGTGTACAAGTAGGCGTAGGTATTCTAACAGTGCTCGTTTCCGACGGAAGGGGTGCTCGGGTGGTGTCGTCAGAGGCCGGTGGGGATAAGGTATATACACGGCAAACCAAGAAATAACCGATATACAGGGCCGAGATCTCGTAACAGTCCTCCGAGTCCTGCTCCCACGGCGCGCTGTAGCAGTACACTCGCTAACCAGATGACCTACACGGAGGGAGGGGGATGTGGTGATGTCCGAGATGTATACACTACATAGCGCGCCGCAGGAGGACGCGCGGCGTGCGTTATTGGCGGATGTGCATCTTCTTGAACAGGCCCATCCACCCGCCCTCGACGTGCGGGAGATGGTGGTGGTGGTGCGTCGCGGGCACGTCGAACGACCCGGGCATCTGCAGCTCCGGCGTCTCGCGCCCGTTGTCGGCTTGGGTCTCCGCCTCTAGGTGTTGCGTCTGTTCCTGCTCGGATGGATTTGATGCGGGCGCGGCGGGATGCGCGACGTTGTCTGTCGCGTGTAGAGGCGTGGGCACCTTCTCGTGCAACGGCTCGGGCGCGTTGGATTCGTGCTTCAGCTCGTGTGCCTCGCTCGGACGTTCGGGAGAGGCGCGCGGGAGAGGCGCGTCACCGCTCACACCTTCGCTCTTGCCTTGCGCAGGCGAGGGCTCATCCTCCTCGGGCGCGGTCACCTTCACATACTCGTTCTCGCCCGGGTCTGATGGCTCACGGGCAAGAGACGCAGCGGGCGGGTGCGCGGCGCTCGGGTGCTCGTCGTCGTCATCATCGTCGTCTGTGTCGATGACGGACCCGGAGCGCCAGCCGCCCGAGCTTGCCGTCGCGCTGCGTGAGGACGAGGATGAGTTGAAGCGGTGGAGCGCGCGGGCGCCAGCGATCGCAGCGCGCCAGCGTGCCTTCGGGTCGAAGTGCTCGCGCAGGCCGGTGAGGTCGTGCTCCGTCGACGGTGTGTGGTCCGTCAGCCACTAATGCGAGGTTAGTGTGAGCCTGTCAGCGGGATGAAGGGGTAAATGGAGCGTACCTTGTGCTTGAGCGCCTCCTCTGCAGTGGGCCGTTTCGCCGGGTCAGGGTTGAGGAGCGATTTGACAAAGTCCTTGGCTATTTGGGTGTTCAGTAGATGCCGATGCGAGTCGGAAGCGAAGAGGCAGCATACCTTCGGGCGAGACGTTGCCCCAGTAACGCTCGTGGAACTCGATCTTCGCCTCCGTCGTCTCCCGAATTAGCTCCTTCACGTCGTCCGAGCGGAACGGGGAGTATCCGCAGAGCATGACGTAGGTGATGATACTGCGCGGTGCGTCATGCTCGTCAGTATATTGCATACAGGGATGGGAAGGGGAGGGACGCACCCGGTAGACCAAATGTCGACGGCCTTGCCGTGGCCCTTCTTGTTGAGCACTTCCGGCGCGACATAGCCGAAGCTGCCCGCGAGGGAGTGTAGCTGCTCTTCCGGTGAGTGCAGGTGCTTCGCGCTATATGGGTGCAGGTGAGCGGGTGCCGTGAGCCGGGTGGAGATGTGGCTTACATGCCGAAGTCGGCGATGACGATGTCCGAGTGCTCGTCGTGTGTGCGGTAGAGAATGTTCTCGGGTCTGTGAGAGTCGGTTTAGGAACGCGCAGTGTATGAAGGGGGAGGGGCTTACTTGAGGTCTCGGTGAACGATGTCATGGTCGTGCAAGTACTTCACGCCAGAAAGTATTGACCTGGGTATATGCTGTTAGCAGCTGTTATGCGTGATGAGCGGGTTATGGCCTACTTGAGTACGGCAACCGCGTCGGATTCCGTGAACTTGCCCTTCTTCGTGATACGCTCGAACAGCTCGCCACCTTGCGCGAGCTCGAACGCGAGGTAGTACTTGGAGCGTGACTCGAACCATTCATAGAACTTGACCTGAAGCAGCGTATTAAGCACCACGCACGGCGCAAAGCATGTTCAGGGCCGAGTACTCACAATGTTCGGGTGGTCGAGCCCGCGGAGGACCTCCATCTCGCCCCAGACGCTGCTCTCGTTCCCCTTGACCTTCTTCTTGGGGATCACCTTCAGCGCGACCTCGACAGTCAAGCCATCTTCGGGATGCTGCTCCTTCTTCGGCTTGGAAGAGAAGGAGGTGCTGGAGTTCGTGCGCGAGGCTGCTGGGGGCTTGCTCTCGCTGGGCGGGGCCGCGGTCTCGCTCGGGGCGGCAGCGGCCCCACGGAGGGCGACGGGGGTCTGGCCTGGCGGGACGTGCCATGTTGCACGCTACGCAGAGGGATTGAATTGACCGCGAAGTGATATTGAATGTTGGCGCGCAGCAGCGAGCGCAGATAAGAGGTCGGGGCACGGTTGGTAGAAGTGAACGTAGTGGTCAGACGAGTACCCGGTGGATCACAGAGCGCGCGCGACGTACCATAACCTTGCCGAATGTGCCCTCGCCAAGGACCTTGTGAATCTCATAGGCCTTCTTCTTCTGGAATGAGGGGGGCTGCGGAAGCAGCGCTTCCGATATAGACAGGGTCATCGCGCGGAGACGTTTGCGCGACGTCGTGCTTGGCGTGCAGGGGAAAGAATAGGTGGGCGGGCGGCAGTTGCCCTGGAGTCTGGGCGAGAGGGAGAGAAGGCGAGAGAGCGGGGGCGCGTGTTGATGTGAGAGGGTGCAGGGCTGTACTTTCCGCCCCCAGTCTGGTCGATGCTGGTTATCAGCCTGGCGTCTCGCGCACGCGCACCGTGTGCAGCCGTTCGCGGGGCGTTCGAGAGCGTTCTAAGTCGCTGTTTGGAGAGCAGCGGTCGGTAGAGTACGCGCGGGCGCGGCGTTCGCGTGCAGAGAGGATGCGGAGGGAATTGCGCCGGCGGGAGGCCATCCGTCCCCTTCATACTTAGCCCAGATATTGATGTGGAGTGAGCTCGGGCGGTCCTCAGGGTCCTAGGCACCCCCGCTCGCTTGCCCTCAACGTCATCCCGCGTGGTTTTCTGGGACCTCGAACACTCCTTGGACCTACACCTCCACGTTCATGGCGCTGGCCACAACGCGTTCTCTCTCTCTCTTCCCTCCTGTAATCCTGCATCTTTTGCCATCCCAAGCTTCAACTTTTCAAGCTACTGGCATCTGTGCACTTCACGAATTTTAAGTACACCGAAGACAATGCAAACGCATGATAAGAGCCTCGCTATCTGTCTGCCATGCTTCGTCATCATTCAAATATTCAAGGATGATCCTTTGCTAGCGGCTAGCTCTCCTTCGAACATCAAGCTTTATGGTAAGCTCACATCATATGCTGTCGAATGATAAGCATTCTGACGATCCGGCAAGGCTACTTATAACCTTCACCAGAGTTTTCGTTTCCAGCGTGTTGAGTGACCACGCATGGGTTTTCAACTAGCTGTATGTCTCTCAACGGCTAGACATACAGCGTGCTCGGCTCGAGCAGCGTACTCCGGTTACATGGCTTAGAGCTATGTCGGTATTCACCCTGGAATCAGGAAACCCTCCGCTTCAAAAAATGGACGAGATGTAGCTCATGCGCGACGTTGCGCGCATACCCGCCGACAACAACGACGCGCTACGTCATCACCTGATCCCTCCGCACACCTGCTGTACGGCACCTATGATTGTGTCATGGCATACTGCGTTCAAGCAGGCCTGGGATCATGCCCAACGAGACGACGCTGCATGGGGTGTATCATGCCTCAGTACACCTCAATGCGACCGCTGACACAGGATCAGGTAAGTCCGAACGCCGCTGCTTGAGTGAGCCTCAGTGCACTGCTCTTCTGCTGAAGTTTTGATCGCTGGTGCCGCCCAATGAAAGGCTCTTTTGAAGAGCTCAGGAGCTCAGGAACCATCAGACGGGGCGCGCGCTGTACGGCGGAGAAGCCTGTACGTTCCCGCTCCTCCCGAGGAATGGTGCTGCGCTACACGGGATGCTACTCGGACGGTCTTTGACGTGGTCGCGCAGTCCGCCTCGGAGCTCATGCTTGTCGATTCACCTGGCACGTCTGCGCGATTGTGTCGGCCCCTCGACGAAGCTCGCCCACTCCGGGCGGACAAAAGACGACGCATCTGGTCAACAGCCCCAATACAGTTCTGCGACCTGCAGCGCCCCCCGAAGCCCCGTCCCGCGGCTGGCGGAACCACGCGGCGGCTGTACGCGGCCTGGCCAGGCAGCTGCGACACAACAGGGCACAACTCAACCTTCACATCCGACCCCTTTCGCCCCATCGGGAAAACATGTGTGACAGGGCGAACTGTGTGAGGGCGCGAGGCGGAGGCGTGCTCCCGCTAGGATGCCACCCGGTAACTCAACAATGCGCGAAGGTCACACGCTGGGGGGCGCTAGCTCGGAGGTCGGCCCTCGCGGCAGGCGCAGAGCATCTGGCGTGGGCTCTGTGCCACCCGACTCTCCGCGCATCATATGCATGCGGCAGGCCGCCCCGGGGATGGCTCACAGAATCTGCACACGTTGCACCGTGTCGGGCAGCGGGTGACAGAATGTGACATCCGCGGGATTCATGCCGTTTCCAAGCCGGAAGCTTTGGAAGGTCCCGAAATTAAGTCTCACCTGGATGACGACTGATCACTGCAGATAGCGGGTCCAGGGCGCGCACGATGCCTCCGACCGCTCTGCGGCCTTCTGAAGCTCAGTGCTAACAACGGACGGGGCCGTCCGCACACTCGCAGTCCTGGCGTTCCGGGCGGCGTACCAAGCAGCTGGCCCCGTCCGAAGGAGGCCTCGGGCACGGTTCTCCGCGCCCATATCGCGATCCCCGACGTGCCGCGCGTGCGTGTGCGCGGCGCGCACCCTCCCTCGTACTCGCGCTTCCGGAGTTGATGTCATCCTCGATACGGCGACGCTGCACAGGTCTTCCCAAGTTGCAGCGCAGGCACGTCTCGTCCGGGGCAACATACATGGACCGACCTTGGACCTCTGCTCTGGTGCGAAAGCCCGCGACAGCACAGCAACTCCACGATTTCGCCGTTCGCGACGCCAGGCCAGCACCTACGGCGCAGACGGCGCGCGCAGACAATTGGTGAGCCAGGGCTTCTGGCAATCTAATCGGGACGTGGACCGTGACGGAGTCGCTCACACGCGCGTGCAGGCAACGAGGTGATTATATCGTAGGGTGGGCGTCACCCTCCGCGCAATCACACAGCGCAGAGTTGCGGCCAATCCGTGATGATAATCGCCTGCGCGGCCCAGAATGGTAAAAGCCCCTGCCTGTAAGTGATTATAACGAGGGGTTGCACTCATCCTTCCCCGATCCGATCTTATTCGCTGAAGTGCGTGTGTAGCTGCAAACGCAACCTGTCCTCTGCTCTTACCTTCCGCACACCGTCTATATAAGAGAGGCGCCATGGACCTCCTTTCTCCCAGATCCCCAAGCCCCCACACCGCGCCCGCCCTCCCATCCTCCTTCACCCATCTGCAATGGCGTCTTTCCAGCCCATTGTCCCCGACCACACTGCTCCTGGTGAGTGTCCCTTTGGATTCCAGCGCGCGACCGCGGTGCTCATGGCCTCAGGTGCAGATAGCCCGTTCAACTCCGGTATCAACGGCTGGCAGGGGAGCTGCCTTGCGAGCGCGCTCGGCGGCGGCGCGGCCTCCCAGGCGGTTTCGCCGCGCGAGTGGCACACCGCGCACGACCCCCAGCTATTTCACAACCCGCTTTCTTTCCCTCCTCCGTCATCACCCTCCTCCTCCATCTCCTCCACCGCGTCCCCCAGCCCCCTTCCCTCCTCCTCTCGCACTCGGAAAGCCACCAAGGCATCCTCGAGGGCCGCTGCGACTCCTCGCAAGAAGGCGTCTGCGCCCGCTTCACGCCAGAGAGCCGTTGGGGCTGCTCGCCAGGGAGCCGTGGCGGCTACTCGCAAGAGCGCGAAGCCCGCCAACCACGTCAAGCGCCCACCCAACGCGTTCATCCTCTTCCGCAGCGCGCAAAAGCAGCAGCTGGGCGCGCTTCAGCCAGATCACCGCATGATCTCGAAGATCTGTGGGAAGGTCTGGGGGACGCTCAGCGAGGAGGACAAGGCGGTCTGGATGAGGCGCGCCGAGGAGGAGAAGCGCGAGCACGCTGCGCGGCATCCAGACTACGTCTTCAGGCCCGTCAAACGCCCCGATAAGAAGACGCGCAACACGAAAGGCAACGACGTGAAGACTAAGATGCGGAACGAGAAGATCGCGGAGCTCTTAGCCGAGGGCAAGAGGGACGACGCGCTCAAGGCCGAGGTCGAGAGATACGACCGAGCGACTGGGACCCCCGCTCTGGGGTACTCAGAGTGCGGCATCGTGAAGTCGAAGGACTACGAGATGGGGGTGTACGACCCGCGCACTTGGAATGAGGAGTCTCCCTCGCCGGCTACCTCCTGCTCGACGGTCTCTTCCTGCTCGACAGTCTCCTTCTCCACGATCTCCTCGCAGGTCTCCTCCCCGGCCTCCTCTTCTTCCCGCCTCACACCACTCCGCCCCGACTCCCCTCCGTTCCACAGCCCCCTCTTCCCGCCCTCCGTCGCACATACACCCGCGTTGAGCAGCCCGCTCGACATGCCCGAGATGGGCAACTTCCCCCTGGTATCTGCGATGCATGTACGTCGGCCTTCCCATATCCTGATATGTGCGCGTCTTAACTGATCACCTCTCAGGGCCCGGCTTCTACTTTCGCCCCAATGCCCCTCCCGCAGGCCGTCGGTCAGGCTCCCATACCGTTCCCCAGCAACTGCATGGCTCAGTACTCCTCCTACTCCGAGAGCCTCGGCCTCGAGATGCAGCCCCAGCCCCAGTCCCCGAACGAGTTCGGCTTCGGCCAGCTCCACATCTCGGGCAGCGCAGCGATGATGAACACCGAACCGCAGTACCCACCGCATTACGACCCCCTCATTCCCCCTTCCGTCGACTCCGCATGCTACGCTGCGCCGTCGTACGGGCCCGCATTCAACCCGTACCAGGGTCCCTCGGGCGAGTACTGGCAGCCAGATCAGTCCGCCGGTCAGCCTGATTACGTTATGGAGCACGATGGGAACAGCGGGATGCAGTGGCTGCCTGGGCAGTCGCAACAGGTCGCTGGCGGGCAGATGAGCGGCGAGCATCAGTGGGCGGCGTGGCAGCCTCAGCCTGCGCCCCGGCCTCGGCCTCAGCCTCAGGCGCTTGCGGGCTGGATGCGGTACCATTGAGCGGCGGGCAAGGCGGGCCTCGTTTCTGGGCTTCTCTGTGCTCTAAAACATACCCGTAAGCAAGAACGATATCTCCATTTATTCTTCTCTATTTCTCTCCATCTGCATCTCTATCTCTCTCTCGCTCTGGGCTCCTCCCTCTCCCCCATTCTATGGCCGCGTCTCATCTCCGGTGTCTCTCATCATATGCTTTCCCTTGCATTAGCTCTTCGGGTTCCGTGTACAAGCTTGGATCCCTTTCTCTCTGCTTTCGGTGTGACTTACTTACTGTATTTATGGCACATCTCTCTATCTCTCCGTCTCTCCTCCGCATTACTCCTTGTATACATAGTACATCGCAGGCTACACGCAATTTCAGCTATTTGGAACTACAACAAAAGCAACGCGCGTGAGAGATCGTCACAACCGGCAGTCTTAATCTAGGATTCGTCTTAGAGTCGCCTCATCCCCAACATACACACGAACAGCACTGTCGGGAACCGCCACAGCCACGCACGCGTCATGACCGCTGCGGGCTCCCGCGCCACGCGCCCGCCTGGTGCCCCGCAACGATCTCGAACGCGCGCACGCCCTCGCGCCCCAGCAGCGTCGCGCACCCGACCACGCTCGCCCCAGCCGCGCGCATGCGCGCCGCAGCCGCGGCCGACGTGACGCCCCCGATCCCGATGACGCGCACGCGGCGCATCGCGGCGTCCGGGTGCGCGGCGAGCATGCGCGCGAACGTGTACACGTTGCCCAGGGAGATCGGGTGGATCGCCTCGCCGCCCATGCCGCCGAGCGCGGGCGGGAGCGCGAAGGGCGAGGGGAGGAGCGTGGGCGAGGGCGGGTGTGGCGGGGGCGTGCTGGCGGAGGAGGAGGGCGAGGAGGGCGTGGGGGAGGCGGGGGGTTGGGGTTGGTGGTGTGGGTAGGGCGCGTCGTCGGTGTCCATGTCGGCGGTGGAGGAGGTGGGGTGTGGGTATGTGGCGGCGGGGTCTTGGAAGGCCTGGTCGGCGAAGAGGAGGCAGGAGCCGAGCGTATTTGTGCAGGCGATATAGGCAAAGGGGTTGAGCGAGCGGAGCGGGTGGCCGTCCTGTGTCGCGAGCTGGTGCGAGTTGCCGTTCATGAACACGGCGGGGCGGATTTCCCGCGTGTAGGTGTGGACGAAGCGGATGACTTCTGCGAAGCGCGTGGAGTAGAGGTAGGGAGGGAGCTTCAGGCCGATCGTAAGAGACGGATCGGCGTAAAACGCCGTCGATAGGACGTCGAGGAGAGGTAGGAGGAGCGTGAATGTGTATGCGGGTGGGGGCGTGTCCTTGATATTCGGGCAGGACGTGTTGAGCTCGATGCCGACGAGCGTGGCGGGGTCAAGGTTCGGGAGGTGCGTCGCGGTTTGTGTGGACGTCGAGGGCTGGGCGCTCGCTGAATTTCTGTTTGAGCGAGTCGGGCTGGTGGGCGGGATGAACTCTCCAAATGACGCGGCGGCTGAGTATGTTGCGCGGAGCTTCTTGCGGAGACCCTGGATATTCTCGACCATCTCTGCGAGCACGGTAGGCGTGGATGCGGTAATGCTGATGATGATAGGCTTTGTGGGCGGGCTGCCGTCGAGACATGGGGTGGTGAGGAGGGTATAGACCCAGTCCAGGTACATCGAGAGTGCGTGTGGCGAGTAGCCGTACGAGTTGACCGACGTCACCGTCTCCTTGGCGAATGCGACCTGGGGTATAAGGTTAGCACAAGCGAGAATGCCGGAGGAAGCGCGGGGCGTACGGTGTTCGAAGAATCTTCGCTGAACCCGTTGAACGTTGCGGTACGGGTAATCACTGCGCCCGTGTATGCGGACTCATACAGCTCCCGCAGCTGCTCGTAGTCGGATGCCCATGCACACGACGCGTTGACGACTGCCGGCTCGATGTTGAGGGTGTGTATCTTCACCATTTGCGCTGCGCTGGGTGGTACGGGGTGTTAGTGCGGGCTCCCGGGCTGAGGCTCGGACAGAGGTGTGCAAAAGGTGGGGAAAATGATGCGATAGCCGTTCTGCCTTCCAAACAGATATATCGCACGGGAAGAGCGGTCTGGAGCGATCCGGCGAGCGGCTGCAGAGGGATCGCTTCTCGGAGCTCGTGGACCCCCATGGGCTGCTCTCGAGCCCCCTCGCTGAATAGGGCAACCGTGTACGATCGCTGTGCAGCTAGAACGCAGCGTCTATGAGCTTCTTGCCGGATATTCAACGTCAACTCGTGGCTGCCCTCGAGGGACCTGGCCTGGAGCAATCGGCGTTTACGGATACACCCCCTCGAGGCCGCCGCAAGGAAGGCGGTACTGTCAGTGGCTGTCGTTACAGCAAAGCCTTTCCGTCTATTCGAGGGGTCTAGGCCGCTCGGAAGCTGGCGCCTACAAATTCCTGTTTATCCAGCCAGGACCTCGAGATATCCGGATCTGCAAGAGCAATGCTGTGAGATACAGCGCGCCGCAGTTATCGCAATGCATGCGCAGGCTCTAGATGTGCGGGAGGCATGGTCGAGCGGATGTTGCGGAAGTAGCGATCCGGCTTGAACGACTTACCGAGTTAAGAAGTTGGTATGCCGTAAATTTTGGAAGCACAGAGATCTTGTGCAGTTCTGTGATTTGGTGCGCTGGGACAAGTTCAGAACAGAAGTTCAGATGACAGTGTAGATGGGTGCTATGAAACAAGGTGAGGTCGGGCACTAAACTCATCCAGCCTGCGACGATACGAGCAACGGGAGTCAGATAAGATGAAATAGACGCCTATCGACGGATCAATGAGACGGAGCGCCCGTTCTCTTGTAGGCAACGGAGTAGTCGGACAGGGCCTCTCGGCAGGTTATTGGGATTAGGGGGGATGTGAGCATAATGCTCGTAGTTATTCGGTAGTACCATCGGACACCATGCATGCAACCCCGAACATATCAGTGTATCGCGCCTTCATAAGAACCCAGGTCTGGGCACCCCCGAGCCCGCAGCCGAGGTGTGAGAAAGGAAACGGCTCGGAAACGCTACATGTGCGGACGACATGACAGCCAACCACGTCGCGGGATGGACGAGGGGTCGCGCCCTGCCGGATCGTTGTTATGGCGCATTCTACCGACTTTGACCAGGGTGGTCCTGGTGGGTCCGCATCGCCACCCGGGGAAGCTTGGGCAGAAGGTTCCATGGCTCGGTCGCTGCTCGGTGTACGTGACTCTGAGCGAGAGTGATTACGTCTTGAGCGCTTCCTCACGCTCGAGGACGGACTTCTCGAGCTTTATCAGGATCGTGGTACGGTTGGGGAATTGGTCGTTCGGCGTGTTGTGTGCAGTGACGCGTGCGGACTGTGAGAAGCACCCCATAAGAAGGGGTTTAAGTTAGAGCATACAACGTGGAACGTACGAAACCCAGGCCATCTAGAACGGCCTCTACAATGCCGGCAGTGAAGGACGAGCAGCTGAGAGAGCTCATGTCGCGAGGCACTGAGATATTGCGCGTTATTGGTGGGTCGTTGTCGATGATCATATCTTTGACAGCGACTCATGAGACAGTAATCAGTTAGAAAACATGCAGCAACGTACATTCGTCCGAGTTCTCGACGCTCTTTTCAATCGCATCCGCCGCTTTTCCGAAGACCGCACGCCAGACGTGCGTGTGAATTGACATAAGGGCAGGAAGGAATCGTGTTTCACGCTTCGGGGCCTTCGAAGCCGATTCGGTTCGCCATGACATGAGCTCCAGGACTCTAGTGCCAATCCGGTATCCCAGCGTGTTCAATCTACGTAGTTGAGAGGTCAGAATATATTCGTGTACCGTGGAAGAAGGCCAATTACGCACCTGCGCTCGAGATCATTGATTCCGCTGACGCGTTTCTGCGTATACTGGACAACTTCCGAGAACAAGAACGCGAAGGCGGCAGAAGAGACTTCAGCAGTCCTTGTCTTGTTCAGCTGTCTGTCATAGATGTTGGGGCGTGCACCCGGCTTTGGGGTAGAAGTGGTGTTGATGGAGGGCGCAGAAGGTAACGAGAAGCGCGACGACGACGCGGCGGGAGACAGGTGCTCGCCAGACGACAGCGAGGAGTTTGAGAGTACAGAGAAGCGAGCATGGGGTTGTGCGTAGCTCATAGCGGGCGATGTCTAGCAGCAGATGTGGTGGTCGAGCGCAGTGAGATCGCGGTCAGGAATAAGCTGGTGAGAGTCGATCGGGCCGGGGAAGCGGGTATTACCCGAAACAGCAATTCACGAGGCGAGCGTCGAGGACGCCCTGCTGCTCGCTGTCTCGAACGGCGACCACGCATGTCCGCCGATTGCAAGGCCGGTGTCTTTTGTCGGAGCCGCCGCTGCACATGATAACACGTCTGATCCACGCTACACTGCTCAGCCGCCCCGCCAAGCCTCCCATAATTGATAATGTCCGATATATCAGCCTCCTTCCCCGACTCCCACTCGCGGTTCTCCCATCTCTCGAGGAGCTCGCTGTACTCCCAGCCCTCCTTGCCTTCGCTCCGCTCTCATGACATGACCTCGACGCCCGCGAGCCCGACCCGCCCCTCGCCCAACGACCTCCAGTCTCACCTCTACACCTCGTTCTTGCAGCGCAAGACTGCGGATGTCGCGCTCCGAATATCCGGCTCGTGGAACGCAGTCTACAGGCTGCATCGCGTCGTCCTGATACAAGCTGTAAGTCGTAGTAATTCCGTTCTCTGACATGTGGCTTACACTGCGTCATGCCAGGGTTATTTCCAGTCCCTATTCACGTCAGGCTTTAGTGAATCGAGAGCGAAGCACTCCGGCCACCGCGCGGACCCAGAATATATTGACATAGTGTTTGATGATCTGAATATCACACGCGCAGGTGAGTCTGACTGCCAAATTGAAAGAATGTGCCAGTGATGCCGACCCTAGCTGACGGATGACCCTATCATAGCATTCGAGTATGTCTAATGTGCCCCCCCGCCGCTCAAAATACCAAGGCGCTGACATATAACACTCACTTGACAGAGTATGCATCGCAAGACTGTATGGCGGCGGCCCACCTCTCTGGATATCCCCCTCCTTGATACCCACTCCCACCTGCCCGCTGACACCTGTATTTGCATCTGGAGGCCCCGATTATACCCCTCAGCCGTCTGGTAGCGGTCTCCCCGCCAGCCTCGATGTATCATCTGCGCCTATTTTGCCACCCGGACACCACTCTGCCACTCCTCGCTTCCTTCTGTCGCTTCTTGCTACGGCGACGTTCCTTTCTATTCCCTCTGTGGCCTCACAGGCGCTGTCTGCCATACTGCGTACTGTCGGCCCGTACACTGTCGTTCCCTATCTGAACTTTGCGCTAGGCCATGGTATTGGACCTGCTGGGGAGGTCGGACCCGATGATTTCCCCCAGGATCCTGAAGCGGAGGCGGCTGTGGGATTAGAGCAGGTCGCAGAACTCATCCGGGAGGAAGATTCGTCCTTCGAGTCGTTCGTCGAAAACCCTCGTCGCCAGGACGGGCCGGCTTGCGACGCCGGGACATCGAAGGACGGGCCCAAACATTCACATATCTGCGGCCCCAACGACACAGATTCCGACACTGATGCCGAATACCACGAGGACGGAGGAAAGACGAGCGCGGAAACCCTGGAGCCTGTGTACTACTATGGCGGCGTTTCCGACAAGGTGGGCGAAGCGGCAGCATGCTGGCTTACTCGCTGGGGCACAGACATGTTCCGATACGAGGAACAGGCGGCAGCATCCGAGTCGAATGCTGCTGGTAAGGCGCCAGAAGTCATATGGTCTCCTGCAGCGCATAAGGTGCAATGGTCGACCGACAGGCCGGGATCTGCTCCGCCGGAGATGCTCGGTTCTCGAATCGGCACGCCAACACTAGGCAGGAACGGAAAATCAGAGCCTGTTGCCCCTGTTATATGGCGGCGGGGAGGATTGACCGCACGCTGGGTCCGTGGAGTCTTGTCGGCGGATGCCCTTTTTGTGCGAGGGGAAAAGGAGCGGTATGAGATGGCGCGGAGTGTGGTTGAGATGAGGAGGGCCGCTCGTGCAAAAGGCGTCCCAGGGGAGTCGGAGGAGGTTGAAGAGGCTGAGTTTGAGCGGCTGTTCAAAGAGGGCATTTACTATGCTAACATGGTGTGTATCATCACCCTTGGTACATTTACTTTCGGAGAGTCTAATGTCATTCACAGCATCTCGACGACCTGATGGCAATATCTAAAGACGTCTCGCCTTCGACAGGGAAGCCTATGGTCCCGCTTTCGGTGCTTCAGGCGGCGCATTGGAACTACTCTGCGCTTTACCACAGGATTACTGCACGTCCCCCTGGCTCATCCTCCCCATCCCTCTCACCCACGGGCGCCACAAAGGAGCTCGGTCTCGCTGTATCTGCGGCAGATATTCCGAAAGATACGTTGCATCCAGAAGAGCGAGACAGTCCATTCTACCCTGTCCCAGGCGACTCATCGCTTCGCCTGGGGGACAGCACGGGCCTCGAAGGCGCGTCGATGGACCAGCTCTTTGACTTGGGGAGCGCGAAGAAGGGTGCGAACACGACGGAGGCGAATTTCTTCGGACTCGAGCAGGCGCGTCGGCCAGCCTCGATATTGGCCGCCTCGTCCCCCAATGCCACGGGAAAACAATGGACGGCGCACCCGCCATACCGCTTCGCCGTCGAGTTTTGGGACGTCGACGCGCTCAAGGAGAAGAGTCGCTTGCATTCGCATACGATCTGGTACGCGGGGAGCCTGTACAATGTCTACGTCCAGGTTGTGCGCAAGAAGGGCATCCAGCTGGGCATATACCTTCACCGCCAGTCTACTGTCGACCCAATCCCTACCTCGTCCGCTCCTGTCACCGTGATGCTGCCCGCTCCGTCGCGTGACAGGAGTATCATAGGTCGTGGCGCATCCTCGTCCGTCTCCAGCGCGCGCCCCCCTTCGCTCATCGCTAGTGGGAGCGGGATATTCTCCACCTCCCAGTCCACAGTGCCGGGGTCGCCTCTCGCGCGCACAAGCACCACCCCAACCACCCCGAACTCGCCCGCCCGGCCGGCGCTATCCTCGTCCCTCCCAAGCTCTCCCGGGTTCGCGCGCTCCTCCACAAACCTGCACGGCAGCTCAAACAGCATCGGCTCGCTCGCGCTCCCCGTGACGCTGCCCGCGATGGCCCCCGCCGTGACGCCCCCGCAGCCGTACCGCGACCCGCGCCCGGCGGTCAGCGCGTACTTCACGATCGCGTGTGCGAGCGCGACTGGGGCGAGTCTGACGCGCTTCACGAGCGCGCCGGATGTGTTC